ACATAAATATTTTCCAGTTGGATGAAGCATTCCTGAGGTGCCCAAGTTTATCAATAAGGAGCAAGTGGAGAGGTTCCGTGGTACTGGTGGACTGCGTATTGAGGATGGCGTCCTGATTACTGAAGATGGATGTGTCAACTGGAATAAAATGCCAAGAACGTATGTTATATTTTGGCAATTTATAATATTTTATGTTTTACTATTCTGTTATTCATTCTAGTTTATAGTGTCCAAGAAATTGAAGATTGGATTGCCGGTGTTGATGATGATTCCAAATACGTTTGAATGAATTTACAACATTTTGAAGATGATATTGATATCATTTTTATGTATTTTGTTAAAAAGTATGAAAAGAGCATTATCTAATTGCATATTATTATCCTGTTTTCTTGCTTGTATTGTTAAAAATGCTGTAAATATTAAGAAATTGAATTTGTGATTCTACATGTTTGAATAAAATTGTTGTTTTATATTTTTAACTATAAATTTTTATTGTTTTATTTGTTCCAAGCGGAGAACATAGCTCACAACATCGTTACTCCTTTAATTAATCCATAAATCCCTTAAACATTAATGGAAATGCCACTGCTAGATATGAGAAATAGTTCAAAATCAATTTTATATTGTATCAATATTAATTTAAAAACGGTATCACTAGTGTCATCTATCCACGAGTAACAAAACTACGCCGCTATTCAAGAGATTTAGCCTACTGCACTTTCTGCGATCCTAATATTCAAAAGAATTTTGTGACCGATTTCAATGGATTTCTCGACAAAATTTGTCGAGGAAATTGCTGAAATGTTGCTGCTCATCAGTCTGTAGTATTAGGAACGCAGAAAGTAGACATAGATAGTTCCCGCTAGATTATTATATATATTGTTTCGGTACATTTTCAATTTTTTCTATAAAATTGCAAATAGGGCCTAAGCATTTAATGCTAGCAAAAAAAATACCAAAATAATTGATATAGATTTAAATTGTCTATCAGAATTCGAAAACAGAATTTAAAAATTCCAGCTTTTAATTTCGACCATAAAAAGAGAAATCTTTTGCCATTTTTTAATAAAATCTTTTCTTTTAAAAATTTTTGTGCCATTTTGATGATTTTTCAATAATGATGCCACCTTGTAGAGAATTTTTCAAGGATCAAGATTATGTAGTTCTTAATTTTCTAGCCTTCTTAGTTGTCGAGATCCTTCAGAATTCGTAAACCGAATTTGCTGAATAAAAATTTTTAAACATTCATTTTACCCGCCATTACTAGTTACCGCCTCTTTCATTTATTACCTCCTCACCCTTTCTGCGATCCGAATATCAAAACCTGAGTTTCGACTGTTTCGAGTCCAAATTTTGTGTCATTTTGCCTCCCAGAGTCGACAAAATAAAGATTGAATATTAGGATCGCAGAAAGTTGAGAAGGCTGATAAAGTTTTCGCGGTAACTAGTAAGGTGCTGCCTCTAGTGGCGACGGACCGAAGCTCAAAACTTTCGGTTGTTGTAGTTTCTAATTGATAGATGGCACTAGCATGCACTTTTCAAAATAAATGGTTTAAGGGATCGTTAAATACGTGATCAGGTAGAAATAACAGAAATAATTATAATTTAAAAAACTTAAAAATATTCTTTATTAAAGAAAACACACAAGCATACATTTTGGGAGTCAATAGTAAGTCAAGCATTAAAAGAAAGGATAATAAGGGTAAACTTTTAGAGGGATTGAGATCGGTAGTTGTTCACGAGATATGTCGGAAACGATATAATAATGAGAAACTAATCATTGCGTTTAAAAAAGGAAGTGTTGTCACGACTTTTCAATCACAACTGCGATCCACGTGCCCAACATTCTCATTTAAAGATCATTGTTTTTTGTACGCTGCTGAAATAACAGCAGAATTTATAGCGAAATAAAAACGGACGCATTTGAGTGATCGAAATATTGTGTATAGCGTACACACGTAATGATGATTGGGGTAAAGCGATTGTTGAATGCCTCGAGCATGTTTATGATTTGGTCGCAGCCAATGCACAGTATCACAATTCGCGCATGTTATCGGCGAAGATGTAGATCTTCTTATTCACTATCAATGTGTTGAAACATATATTTGCTAAAACCAGAAAAAGGAAAAATTTTGCAACAAATCTATTCAACCAAAAGCATGAGCGATCAAACAGCGGCAGATCACATATTATTCTTACATGCTTTTTGTGGCTGTGATACAACATCTGCATCCTTTCATCAAGGAAAATTAAAATGTATTAATGTACTCCGCAAAAATCCAGATTTAAACGAAGTTATCAAGGTATTCAAAAACCCAAAGGCTGATACAGAGATCATTGCTACAGCTGCCGAATTCTTCCTTCTTAAATTATACAGTTACAGTGATGTGAAAACTATGCAAAATATGTCTTCAAATATCTATAGATATGCCAGCTTCACAAAATCAGCATACAAAAATAAATTTAATATTGCATCGCTACCATCAACTGAAGCCGCAGTCCGACAACATTCGTTCAGAACTTATCACCAGGTTAAGTAGTAGTATGGGAATGAACTAAATGCAGAACAATGGGGATGGAAAAGAAACAAGAATGGGCTAATTCCTGTCACCACACTTGAGCCCCCAGCTCCCGAAACATTGTTAAAACTAATATCTTGCAAATGCAAGAAGAGATGTCAGAAAGCCTGCGGCTGCAGAAAGACTGGAATGAAGTGTTCCGTTATCTGAACAAATTGCAGTGGTACCTGTGATAATTCGCAAGTTCCATCACAAGATAGCGATGAAGAGGAAGAAACGATTACCGTTTTTGAGCACACGTACGATGAACTCAGGAACCAAGATTGCATTGAAAACGATAATCCCATCACGGATAGTATGGAAGAAATTTTTACTTGTGATATTTCGATCGGTCTTGAAGACAATTAACGCAGAACACTTGGTCTATCGCGAAGACAATCCAATAAATTTTGGAATAGTGCGTGTGGATTAGGCCTACTTGGGATACCACGATAAAAAAACAAACGCGCCACGTACTCTACCTCATGGTGGTGTGGAAATGAGTTTTTGGAAAAATTAATCTTGAAGTAGATTTTGCGGCGCCCGTACGCTAAAACTATTAATTTTACAAGAAAAAGGTACTTACATAAATTATAGGAAATTTTCTCTATTTGTGAGATAATCACAAAAGTTATCTAGGAAAATGATAAAGAAATTAAATACTTACAATCTGATGCAAGAATGGTCCTTCAACAATGTCAGACTCAGGTGCAAAATCCCTAAAACAAGCAAAAATTAGTCCTTCGAACCAAAAAATGTAATTTTGAGGGTCAAGTTGTGACATAATCACAAGAGTTAATTAGGAAAATGATAAAGAAATTTAATACTTACAATCTGATGTAAGAATGGTCCTTCTGCAATGCCAGACTAAGGTGCAAAATCCCTAAAATTTTAAGGGTCAATTTGTAAGATATTCACAAAAGTTATTTAGGAAAATGATAAAGAAATTTAATACTTACAATCTGATGCAAAATGGTCCTTCTACGATGTCGGACTCAGGTGCAAAATCCTAAAACAAGTAAAAATTAGTCCTTCGAAGCATAAAAATGCAATTTTAAGGGTCAATTTGTAAGATATTCATAAATGTTATTTAGGAAAATGATAAAGAAATTTAATACTTACAATCTGATGCAAAATGGTCCTTCTACGATGTCGGACTCAGGTGCAAAATCCCTAAAACAAGGAAAAATTAGTCCTTCGAAGCATAAAAATGCAATTTTAAGGGTCAATTTGTAAGATATTCATAAATGTTATTTAGGAAAATGATAAAGAAATTTAATACTTACAATCTGACGTCAAAATGGTCCTTCTACGATGTCGGACTCAGGTGCAAAATCCCTAAAACAAGTAAAAATTAGTCCTTCGAAGCATAAAAATGTAATTTTAGGGGTGAATTTGTAAGATATTCATAAATGTTATTTAGGAAAATGATAAAGAAATTTAATACTTACAATCTGATGTAAAAATGGTCCTTCTACGATGTCGGACTCAGGTGCAAAATCCCTAAAACAAGGAAAAATTAGTCCTTCGAAGCATAAAAATGCAATTTTAAGGGTCAATTTGTAAGATATTCATAAATGTTATTTAGGAAAATGATAAAGAAATTTAATACTTACAATCTGATGCGAAAATGGTCCTTCTACGATGTCGGACTCAGGTGCAAAATCCCTAAAACAAGTAAAAATTAGTCCTTCGAAGCATAAAAATGCAATTTTAAGGGTCAATTTGTAAGATATTCATAAATGTTATTTAGGAAAATGATAAAGAAATTTAATACTTACAATCTGACGTAAAAATGGTCCTTCTACGATGTCGGACTCAGGTGCAAAATCCTAAAACAAGTAAAAATTAGTCCTTCGAAGCATAAAATGCAATTTTAAGGGTCAATTTGTAAGATATTCATAAATGTTATTTAGGAAAATGATAAAGAAATTTAATACTTACAATCTGATGCAAAATGGTCCTTCTACGATGTCGGACTCAGGTGCAAAATCCCTAAAACAAGTAAAAATTAGTCCTTCGAAGCATAAAAATGCAATTTTAAGGGTCAATTTGTAAGATATTCATAAATGTTATTTAGGAAAATGATAAAGAAATTTAATACTTACAATCTGATGCAAAAATGGTCCTTCTACGATGTCGGACTCAGGTGCAAAATCCCTAAAACAAGTAAAAATTAGTCCTTCGAAGCATAAAAATGCAATTTTAAGGGTCAATTTGTAAGATATTCATAAATGTTATTTAGGAAAATGATAAAGAAATTTAATACTTACAATCTGATGCAAAATGGTCCTTCTACGATGTCGGACTCAGGTGCAAAATCCCTAAAACAAGTAAAAATTAGTCCTTCGAAGCATAAAAATGCAATTTTAAGGGTCAATTTGTAAGATATTCATAAATGTTATTTAGGAAAATGATAAAGAAATTTAATACTTACAATCTGATGCAAAAATGGTCCTTCTACGATGTCGGACTCAGGTGCAAAATCCCTAAAACAAGTAAAAATTAGTCCTTCGAAGCATAAAAATGCAATTTTAAGGGTCAATTTGTAAGATATTCATAAATGTTATTTAGGAAAATGATAAAGAAATTTAATACTTACAATCTGATGCAAAAATGGTCCTTCTACGATGTCGGACTCAGGTGCAAAATCCCTAAAACAAGTAAAAATTAGTCCTTCGAAGCATAAAAATGCAATTTTAAGGGTCAATTTGTAAGATATTCATAAATGTTATTTAGGAAAATGATAAAGAAATTTAATACTTACAATCTGATGCAAAAATGGTCCTTCTACGATGTCGGACTCAGGTGCAAAATCCCTAAAACAAGTAAAAATTAGTCCTTCGAAGCATAAAAATGCAATTTTAAGGGTCAATTTGTAAGATATTCATAAATGTTATTTAGGAAAATGATAAAGAAATTTAATACTTACAATCTGATGCAAAAATGGTCCTTCTACGATGTCGGACTCAGGTGCAAAATCCCTAAAACAAGTAAAAATTAGTCCTTCGAAGCATAAAAATGCAATTTTAAGGGTCAATTTGTAAGATATTCATAAATGTTATTTAGGAAAATGATAAAGAAATTTAATACTTACAATCTGATGCAAAAATGGTCCTTCTACGATGTCGGACTCAGGTGCAAAATCCCTAAAACAAGGAAAAATTAGTCCTTCGAAGCATAAAAATGCAATTTTAAGGGTCAATTTGTAAGATATTCATAAATGTTATTTAGGAAAATGATAAAGAAATTTAATACTTACAATCTGATGCAAAAATGGTCCTTCTACGATGTCGGACTCAGGTGCAAAATCCCTAAAACAAGTAAAAATTAGTCCTTCGAAGCATAAAAATGCAATTTTAAGGGTCAATTTGTAAGATATTCATAAATGTTATTTAGGAAAATGATAAAGAAATTTAATACTTACAATCTGATGCAAAAATGGTCCTTCTACGATGTCGGACTCAGGTGCAAAATCCCTAAAACAAGGAAAAATTAGTCCTTCGAAGCATAAAAATGCAATTTTAAGGGTCAATTTGTAAGATATTCATAAATGTTATTTAGGAAAATGATAAAGAAATTTAATACTTACAATCTGATGCAAAAATGGTCCTTCTACGATGTCGGACTCAGGTGCAAAATCCCTAAAACAAGGAAAAATTAGTCCTTCGAAGCATAAAAATGCAATTTTAAGGGTCAATTTGTAAGATATTCATAAATGTTATTTAGGAAAATGATAAAGAAATTTAATACTTACAATCTGATGCAAAAATGGTCCTTCTACGATGTCGGACTCAGGTGCAAAATCCCTAAAACAAGCAAAAATTAGTCATTCGAAACATAAAAATGTAATTTTAGGGGTGAATTTGTAAGATATTCATAAATGTTATTAAGGAAAATGATAAAGAAATTTAATACTTACAATCTGATACAAAAATGGTCCTTCTACAATGTCGGACTCAGGTGCAAAATCCCTAAAACAAGTAAAAATTAGTCCTTCGAAGCGTAAAAATGTAATTTTAGGGGTCAATTTGTAAGATATTCATAAAAATTATTTAGGAAAATGATAAAGAAATTAATTACTTACAATCTGATGCAAGAATGGTCCTTCTACGATGTCGGACTCAGGTGCGAAATCCCTAAAACAAGTAAAAATTAGTCCTTCGAAGCATAAAAATGCAATTTTAAGGGTCAATTTGTAAGATATTCACAAAAATTATTTAGGAAAATGATAAAGAAATTAATTACTTACAATCTGATGCAAGAATGGTCCTTCTACGATGTTAGACTCAGCTGCAAAATCCCTAAAACAAGCAAAAATTAGTCCTTCGAACAGAAAAATGCAATTTTGGGGGTCAATTTGTAAGATAATCACAAAAGTTATACAGGAAAATGATAAAGAAATTAATTACTTACAATCTGATGCAAGAATGGTCCTTCTACGATGTTAGACTCACCTGCAAAATCCCTAAAACAAGCAAAAATTAGTCCTTCGAACAGAAAAATGCAATTTTGGGGGTCAATTTGTAAGATAATCACAAAAGTTATACAGGAAAATGATAAAGAAATTAATTACTTACAATCTGATGCAAGAATGGTCCTCCTACGATGTCAGGCTCAGGTGCAGAATCCCTAAAACCATCAAAAATTAGTCCTTCGAACAGAAAAATACAATTTTGGGGGTCAATTTGTAAGATAATCACAAAAGTTATACAGGAAAATGATAAAGAAATTAATTACTTACAATCTGATGCAAGAATGGTCCTTCTACGATGTTAGACTCACCTGCAAAATCCCTAAAACAAGCAAAAATTAGTCCTTCGAACAGAAAAATGCAATTTTGGGGGTCAATTTGTACGATAATCACAAAAGTTATATAGGAAAATGATAAAGAAATTAATTACTTACAATCTGATGCAAGAATGGTCCTTCTACGATGTTAGACTCAGCTGCAAAATCCCTAAAACAAGCAAAAATTAGTCCTTCGAACAGAAAAATGCAATTTTGGGGGTCAATTTGTAAGATAATCACAAAAGTTATACAGGAAAATGATAAAGAAATTAATTACTTACAATCTGATGCAAGAATGGTCCTTCTACGATGTCAGACTCAGCTGCAAAATCCCTAAAACCATCAAAAATTAGTCTTTCGGTCAGAAAAACACAATTTTATGGGTCAATTTGTGAGCTCATCACAAAAATTATTTAGGAAAATGATAAAGAAATTAATTACTTACAATCTGATGCAAGAATGGTCCTTCTACGATGTCAGACTCAGGTGCAAAATCCCTAAAACCATCAAAAATTAGTCTTTCGGTCAGAAAAAGGCAATTTTAAGGGTCAATTTGTGAGATTATCACAAAAGTTATTTATGAAAATGATAAAGAAATTAATTACTTACAATCTGATGCAAGAATGGTCCTTCTACGATGTCAGACTCAGGTGCAAAATCCCTAAAACAAGCAAAAATTAGTCCTTCGAACAGAAAAATGCAATTTTGGGGGTCAATTTGTACGATAATCACAAAAGTTATATAGGAAAATGATAAAGAAATTAATTACTTACAATCTGATGCAAAAATGGTCCTTCTACGATGACAGACTCAGGTGCAAAATCCCTAAAACAAGCAAAAATTAGTCCTTCGAACAGAAAAATGCAATTTTGGGGGTCAATTTGTACGATAATCACAAAAGTTATATAGGAAAATGATAAAGAAATTAATTACTTACAATCTGATACCAGAATGGTTCTACAGTGTCAGACTCAGGTGCATCAATCCGAACTAATTGTGGTACCGCGTTCGCGTGTTATAACAAAAAAACTACAATTCCTAGCGCAACGAGTACTACGGCGCAAACACAACTTTCACTATAACCCGCGTTACGGAATTTTCTGGCAAAAAATTTATATACAGGAAGATGTAGAATTAAATTCTGCATCTGGGAAAATCAATCCAAACTCTTTGTGACACCGCGTTCGCGTGTTATAACAAAAAAGCTACAATTCCTTGCGCAACGAGTACCACGGCGCACACACACACAACTTTTAATATAACTCGCGTTACGGAATTTTCTGGCAAAAAAATTATATACAGGAAGATGCAGAAATAAATTCTGCATCTGGAAAACTTAATCCGAACTAATTGTGACACCGCGTTCGCGTGTTATAACAAAAAAACTACAATTCAACACAACTTTCATTATAACTCGCGTTACGGAATTTTCTGGCAAAAATTTTTACACACGCAGATGCAGAACTAATTTCTGCATCTGGGAAAATTAATCCGAACTTATTGTGGTACCGCGTTCGCGTGTTATAACAAAAAAACTACTATTCCTAGCGCAACGAGTACTACGGCGCAAACACAACTTTCACTATAAGCCGCGTTACGGAATTTTCTGGCAAAAAATTTATATACAGGGAGATGTAGAATTAAATTCTGCATCTGGGAAAATGAATCCAAACTAATTGTGACACCGCGTTCGCGTGTTATAACTAAAAAACTACAATTCCTAGCGCAACGAGTACTACGGCGCAAACACAACTTTCACTATAACCCGCGTTACGGAATTTTCGGGCAAAAAAATTATATACAGTGAGATGTAGAATTAAATTCTGCATCTGGGAAAATGAATCCAAACTAATTGTGACACCGCGTTCGCGTGTTATAACTAAAAAACTACAATTCCTAGCGCAACGAGTACTACGGCGCAAACAGACAACTTTTAATATAACTCGCGTTACGGAATTTTCTGGCAAAAAGTTTATATACAGGGAGATGTAGAATTAAATTCTGCATCTGGGAAAATGAATCCAAACTAATTGTGACACCGCGTTCGCGTGTTATAACAAAAAAACTACAATTCCTAGCGCAACAAGTACTACGGAGCAAACACAACTTTCAATATAACTCGCGTTACGGAATTTTCTGGCAAAAAATTTATATACAAGGAGATGTAGAATTAAATTCTGCATCTGGAAAAATTAATCCGAACTTATTGTGACAGCGCGTTCGCATTATAACGCGTGTTATAACAAAAACTACAATTCCTAGCGCAACGAGAATCACGGCGCACACACAACTTTCAATATAATTCGCGATACGGAATTTTGTGGCAAAAAATATATATACAGGAAGATGCAGAATTAAATTCTGCATCTGGAAAAATTAATCCGAACTAATTGTGACACCGCGTTCGCGTGTTATAACAAAAAAACTACAATTCCTAGCGCAAGGAGTACTACGGAGCAAATACAACTTTCATTAAAACCCGCGTAACGGAATTTTCTGGCAAAAAATATATATACAGGAAGATGCAGAATTAAATTCTGCATCTGGGAAAATTAATCCGAACTAATTGTGACACCGCGTTCGCGTGTTATAACAAAAAAACTACAATTCCTAGCGCAACGAGAATCACGGCGCACACACACAACTTTCAATATAACTCGCGTTACGGAATTTTTTGGCAAAAAATTTATATACAGAGAGATGCAGAATTAATTTCTGCATCTGGAAAAATTAATCCGAACTTATTGTGGTACCGCGTTCGCGGGCTATAACAAAAAAACTACAATTCCTAGCGCAATGAGTACTACGGCGCACCCACGCAGCTTTCAATATAACTCGCGTTACGGAATTTTCTGGCAAAAAAGTTTTATACAGGGAGATGCAGAAATAAATTCTGCATCGCGGAACTTAATTTTGACTTTACTGTGACACCGCGTTCGCGTGTTATTATAAAAAAATTACAATTCCTAGCGCAATGAGTACTACGGCGCACCCACACAACTTTCAATATAACTCGCGTTACGGAGTATTCTGGAAATAAATTTCATTACAGGGAGATACAGAATCAAATTCCGCATTAGGGAAAATGATTTCGAATTTACTGTGACACCGCGTTCGCGTGTTAAAATAGACCCCCGCGCTATTTAAAAAATAACTGGCTGTTGAAATGTGAAGAAAAATTATTAAAAACTTAATTTAATTTAAACACATTGCTGGACACAATGCAAAAGTGAAGATTGACTTTAAAGTTAAAAACAAAATTTAAAATTAAACTCGTGTTCGGACGCGTGCCGTAAATAGTGTAAGAGTTGTATGACATGAAAAAAGTTGTTTACAAACTGACACTGATAAGCGCGGAGAGAAGATATCGATGGCAATTCCAATGTGAACCGGCTTAAAATCACCATATTAAGAAACATACTTTTTATTTTCTTCCCGATACAATAGCGAGAGCGTTATAATTATTAAATTTAATAGTGCAAAAATGACAAAAGAACATTAATTCAAATATAAACTTACCAACAATAAGCCCTCCATGCTGGATAGACTCCCGGAGATGTAGCGCGTCGCGCGTTTATGGTACAAACATCAATAAACCCGTTAAAATAATTCTAGTTGGAAAACATATACTAAACATTAAACGCGGATTAAAAAAGTTAAATTTCTTTCGTAAACCCGGAAAATAAACATGCGAAAGCACAACGAAATTACTTAATAAATATTTCCATTGATGACGAATATAAATAATAAAATAATCAAGGTATACAGTAACGCGATTATGTACAACAATAATGGCGACGGGCCGGCCGCGAAGAACGCGTGCGTAGCCCCCGATGACTACGAACTTACTACCTACTCGACTCGAATCAAGCAGAGTGCGCCGAAGGTACTTGCGCCGTGCGCAGTCTGCGCAGCGACTGCACGCGGTAATATCAGCGCAAGACGAATGCGCACAATGTACATAAAATACTGTCAAATAGTTCTGTTGCTCATACATTGTCCAAAACTATGAAAATTTGCGTTTTACATACAGAATAGAGTAAAATATCGATCTTAACATTATTTAAGCGCAAATTTAGCAAATTTTAAGTTCCACACTTCATAAACAAACAAAAAGAAGAATCAAAGGCGAAATTTGTGAAAAATGTGTTTATTATCATTTCATTTCATCATCTTTCACCAACTCTGAATGGAAATGGTTTCATCAAAGAAAACGCCTTGGAAATGAGAGTGTGACACTAATGTTTAAGTTACAATACCACCGGTTGCAACCAGCGGTTCATTCGCAAACATGGTACATGGTAACTGCCTGACTAGTAGAAACAAGAAGATCAAAAAACAAAAAATGCCATTTGTGAAGTCAATCCTCGTCCCTCTCATTCTATTCTCGTCAAAACTACATACTAATTGATATTGTTTGGTGTTTTCCTTCATTTGTTCTCACCATCCGTTCATCATCATCAAAAATATATACTAATGGACCGTTAAACAGTCGTAAGTCGTAAGTGTTTTTATTCCGTTCTTCATTTGTTGTCGTTTTTGTACTTAACATTAAATCAACTGGCGCGAGCGACGAACACCTCGTTTGGGGACGCGCTCTGGTTTTACAATAATATAAATATATATAAATCTCTAAATAAAAATGACAGTTTATGCTATACAATATGAAGCGCATTAATTATTTTTTTTCGTTAGAGCGTCGCCCGTGTTCGTTCGCTGGCCCGACACGACGTTAATCAATATATTTACTACAGAAATGTATTCGTAGGACATTCGCATAATTTATACTCTTACTCTCACTAAATCTAAACTCTCGCATTTATACGTCCGTGCGTATCACACACGGCTTCATTTTTTTTTTCGTTTTCAATAAATAATAAACATCAAAAAATAAAATACTTTTTTTGAGATATTTTCTTTTGTCTCTGCTTCACTAGCGTGTTTTGAATTTTTTTTGTATTTTTATCACGTTTTTTCTGAGATATACTCAACTCGAAGGGAGTGTTTTCACTCGCGGATGACGCACAGGTGCGTACTGAAGTTCTCCGAAGGCTTGAGGCTGTTCCACCGGATCGAGCAGCGCATCTTCATACGTTTACGTTGCATGTTACGTGCATTATTGTCGTAATTCTGCAGAATGCTCTTCAACGTCGCGTGGCATGTCAGCATTTGATTTGGTGTTATCTGTAACACAAGATAAAACAACAATTAGATTTCATTCCCAGTATCGCGCAAAATAAGCAAAATAATCGAACACTCAGCATAATATTCTGTTATTAAACATAGTTTATGTTTAAATACATACCATGCATATGTTTTGAAGTTTGCAGGTATACAGCCATAGTTGTTTGACGAATTCAACAGAATAGTACGGTGATTTAGGTCCGTCAGGTTGCAGAAGTCGCCCCATTTCGGCTTGAACAAGGGCCAACGCCACTGCACTTGGTCGAATCGCAACACAGCGCGAATCTAACATGACCACCTCTAGACGAGTAAGCAAACTCTTTCTCTGTAAACACAAACAAAGAGAAATGATTACATACTGTAATTAAGTATCGCCATATCAATATGTGTACACAAATATAATATGTTATCATTGTTTGTTCGATGGCTTGGACGTTTTAAAAGTGCGCACTTTGTTTGATAAGAAATCGCAACGGTTTCTATCCCAATGTGAAACAAACAAACCGTATAAACATACATAATATAATCTGAACCAGTCGAGGTATACTTTTTTACAAGTTAATCTCACCCTATTGACCCCATTATGTGATTCTACCTGTTTTTATTCCCACAGCGTTTAAAAACTTGGGGTACGGCTTAAAATACTGACTCGATTAAAAGGATCCACCCTTTTTTTGTGAGGCATTGTCACTTTCCCCTTTTTTTAAGTTTATTGTGTTTGTTTGATATTTACCTGTAGAATGTTGGCCTTGAAACTCTGCTGCCTCGCTTCACATTCGAGGATCTTCACGAAATGTTCGACGTAATGGACGGCGGTGACGGGCTTTTCACCATCGGTGAGGCCTAGCTTGTTGCGCACGATGTCACTCATGCGCTCCAGGTCGCTGACGGTGCACTTCACCTGCGAGATGGTCACCAGGTCTGCAGCGTTGATTATTTTTTTGTGCAGGCCTGCGGCGATGTGGAAACAGCTGATTGCTGCACAGTCCAAGTGGGCTGACTTCACCTATAATGAAGAAATTCGTTAATATCTTCAAAATTACACAACTTTTATTAAAAATTCTGTTAAAAACTACTTTAATAATGAATTCTGTATGAACTTGAACAATAATTGTTCGTAAATCTTTGTTTCTTTTAATAATAATTGATAAAAATGTAAAATATTTCATTAAGTTGTAAAAACGGACGTTTTTACACAAATTTCAATAAAAATTATTCATAACAAAGTGTAATTACTTGCTAAAATGAGTAAATAATTCATTTCTATTAACAATTATGTTTGCCAGGCATGGTTATTGGCAAATTTATGTGTAAAAACGTGTCGAAATAAACAAGTTGCGTAAAATGTACAATTTGCGTCTTGGCGCGTGTTGTTTTGTGTTTGCGGCTATATCAAGGATGTGCAGGCAGTATCAAAGTCGCAGGCGGAATAAAAACACAGCAGAGTGTGACCTAAATTCGCGCAGCGTCACATATTACCAAATCAATTTCGTTATTTCCTAACGTTCCAACATGTGTGTGTACATTGAAAACATGTGCAGTCAACCAACATCTACTAGCATTGTGACTTATGTCGCGAGTGGATTTATTTTAATTCATTCTGCTGCCGATGGAGCAGCCGTGGGCACTCTATCGACAGAAATATCCACTCGAAGGAGATTTAATGCCAAGATGCCGAGCTATTATTAATTATTAAAGAGTTACTCAAGGGCAAATCGCCATACAACAAGAATAAAAACAAATAACAACATAAACAAACCAAATCAAGAACAAGACATTGAAAATATGATAATTATAAATTATAATCAGTAAACGTTTGTTATTAACGTCATTTTGTTGTTATTTTATATTTATTGTGCTTTTTATGAATGTAAAAGTTAAATAACTTGCTATTTATTATTTGCTATGTAACAGCTCGGGTACTAAACATAGTCGGCGGTTGTTTTCGTTATTTTTAACAATTCTTAACCCTGCGCCAGGGTCACAAGTCCGGGTCGGCCATTTTAACAATTGAATAATCATCAGCCGCGAAAAACAAACTTTCTACCGCCTGTTTTACTTTATTTACACCGAAAATATTCGAAATAAACGTCGAAGAAGAATTTAGAAATCTAACGCATATATTTATGGGTTAATCGTGTTCAGTTTCGTTCGGTTTTCACGCATGAGTAATTTCGATATGTGTGTACTTTGGTATCTCGACTGTAATTGCGTCAGACATGAACAAAAAATTCAGGAAGCTTAGATAACGATTGAACTGTGATTATTTCGTGTGTTCGTGCGAGACGGCGCGTCGACAAGTCTCAACATGTCTGGAACCTGAACAAAAATAAAATCTACCTGAACGATGAACTGTGTAGAAATAAAATAAAATCTCGAGAGGTTCAGCCGTTCAAAATGTTCAAATTCCAATGAAAAGTAATACCTACAAGTAAAACAAACAAATCTCTCTCGTGATAAATGCGTAATGGATATTTCATCGATAAACCCGTGCATGTAATAACATTGCTCCAATAGTGCAAGCCGAATTCCAAGCACGTGAGCAGTAAACGTTATCAGCGACTAAACAAACAGAAACTGCGCCTTCCGATTAAATATGACTTTAGTATAAGGTTACGGCGCAAGTTACCATGATTCGTCATTATTAACCGTGACGAATTGTTGCAAAATCATAATCATGGATAAACCGTTACATATTGTCACAATTGATGAAACACATACATTTCTATAGATAATAAATGTTGTTTTACGCGAATCAACGATGTATTGTGTTACAAAATGGCGAATTTCATTGTTATCCGTTGGACAAAAACTTGAAATTTAACACAAGATGGTGGAAACATGTATCGAACATGTCCTGAACATGTTTTTGAGTCGTCCAGTGACACATCCAGTCGAATTCGTGCGAAAATCGCTTTAATAACCTTAATAATTTAAGCAAAATTCGACAGTTTTATTGAAATTTGCATATAAAGGTCGTTTGGTAACTGGCAGTCACCTCGCTCAACAAATAAACTATCCAAAAAAGGAGATGGCCGTTCTCAATGATACAACAACTTGTTGTGGTGTAAAAATGTAGCGCACAGCGAACAACGACCGGTACTGTGTATATTCTATGCTAGTCGAGACAAAGAAACCAGTTATGATGCTGATGCTACAACTATGTATACAACAGTCAAGTCCATCCACACTTGGATGCTGTTCTAGCAAACAAAGAAACTTGCGCTGTGGATACATTTCAACGGCACTTGTTGAATCGTAAATAAAAAAAAACGTAGGATGCGCACATATTACATCATTATATCACTGACTTTCTAAATGTAAAAAATCAATATGTAGTTATAGTTGGCTGTAAATGTTCTACTCATTTGTTTTGTAAACAAAATAAACAACCGAGCGAAGCAGCGGGCAAGAAAGCCTTGATTTTCTGCGTTTGTAGGTCGAAATTTACGTACGTATCGAGTGTTGTTGTTTGTTCTTCGCACGCGAAATTTAATTTATTTAACATGTGCTAGTTATGTTTGCTTTTTGGGGCAAACGATGAGTATTTGTGTAATGGCTACTTTACACAAAACTTTCCTTTGTTTCCTAAATGAAGACTAATAATAACCGCCATCTTTGTTTTCACTCGTACTAAATAATCACAAACAATAACTTTCTTCTTTTTTAGGTTTAAAACTGTGTTCTACGTGACAAATGACCGTGTTAACAAGTATTTGTTTACAGTGATAATATATTCATTGTTTTTTTTTATCTAAGATAAAATAGAAGATGATGTAAGCATTTTTAAGGTTATAATGTGTTATAGATATACGAAACTGTGTGTAAGTATAGTAAAAAAACCGATGTGTAACCGAAGATGAACGAAAGTGAACGAAACTATCATCGACTGACGCCGCAGACAAGTTTGAACATGTTCCGAACAAGTCTATACGTCATGATTCTACCATGACGAATCGCTTACAAATGATGCAAAAATTGTCACTATCACGCAACAGGGATAAGTAATAAACAAAATGGCTGTTGGATTTTAGTATGAGAATATGATTTTTAGGTTACCTTGAGTTTGGTGAGAAATCTATCCAGAAGATTCAAGCATGTGATGAACGCCTCGCTCGGCAGCTCGAACCACGTCTTGAGGAAACGCAACTTCCTCGCAGCGACATCCCTGCCGACGAAGGCGTCCTCACCGGTGGCCTGCTCGACGGCGCTGGCGTTCGCCATGAACTTCTGCTCGAGCTTGAGGCTGCGCTCCAGCTCGAAGATGTGCTGCTTGATGACAGCATCCGGGCCAGGCCGGCCCCTACCCTTGTTGCTCCTGCTCTTCATCTTCTCTCCCGCTGCACGCAATCCACCCCCAATCAACACACGAGCAAACAGCAGATCGGATGCGGAATCAGATCGCCATTGTGCGACGCGACGAACAAAGAGTGAGGAGCTGGCCCAGTTTCTGCAATTTGCGTATGCAAGAATACCCAGTAAGTGAGGTGTAAAGTCACGAATGCTATGGCTCGATTTGAGTTCACCGTTTGTTTAATTCCGAATTATTATTATTGAATATAATTTGGAAAACGCTAGTGGGCCTAGCGACAAACAAAGAACTGTATCGTTAGCCAAGTTACTGGGACACTGGGATGCTCGATGGATTCGCAATGAATGCGAACGTTCGCTTACCCGGATGCTTATCGCTAGTTGGCGACTGCGATTGTACTCTTTGTTGTGGGTTGTTTTTGCACACTGGACACTTGGGAAACAAAGAAAAGGTGACTGCCGAAGCTGTTGCTACGCTGCGAGTCGACGAACTTCTACGCCGACGCTGTGCCTAACGCAGAGCTCGACTTGTGGCTGCGTATTGCCCCTCCACTGTATCCCCGCCATGCAAGCAAACAAAGCCTAGAACATTCCAGAGTATTCGAGACTGTTTTAAACTAAACTCGACTTTATTACGCTTACCATAACTGCTATTTTCGTCTGCAACCCAGCGAACAAAAAATAGTCTGCTTGGAATATAGTTGTGCGATCCAATAAGGTTCATTTTTGTATGACAGTTGTATTAAACTGCGTTGATTCGGATGTTGTTTTGAACTTTATGGCGTCCAACAAAATGGTTGAGTATCCTTGAGCGTCCTGTTACGTGCATAGACGCAATCGATACACTTGCAAAGCAAAGCGCTTCAAATTGGAACTAAACGAAATAAACAAACGGTATTAATACGCGATCGCTAGGCAACGTTATAAAACCGCTTTTGATAAACTCGTACGATGCGTTTAGGAACGTTAGAAAATAAAAACTGCGGCGTTGCTATGCTGATCGGCTCGCAGGAGTTGCGTTGAGTTGCAATGTTTTAACATAGGCAATCAAATGTACACCTGTATTTTGTAATGGAATTTACTTGCGCGCTTGTACTTTTTTGATTAAAATGAGTTTTAAAGTGAGTAGGTGTGGAAATGTAGGTTGAAATTGCGTGGAATTTCATTACTTATCGCACGATTAAGGAGTTGAGTTGGTAAAGGGCAGCAACTGTTATTTACTGCAGATTGCAAAACTTTCTTTAAATTTACGTTTAAATTGAATAATTTCAATGTTTTAAAAGTTATATTGAGATAGGCAACACTAATAACTCATTAAAAAATATATTATCCTTGCAATTTGTGAATTACAGAGTTAATCAAGCTATAAAGTGTAAGAAGAGTGCATTAATAGTAGGTACTTAACTAATTTAATCTCAAAGTTGTTTCTTTTGTTAAGGTGAAACTAGGTTTGAGGACTTGCTAAGAAGGTGTTGCACAAGTAGCACTCTAAATCTTTGTAACTGAACCTATTCTAACCTGAAGAAGTTGAAGTTGAAGTAAAACCACATTTTCAAGAAGATTTTAGCTTGTTTAGCATAAGTGAACGATGCTACAAGAATTACCAATGAACTAAATACGTTAATATATGGAAAACAACTGAAAAACAAGACAAAAACTTAATTTAACCTAAAATTTATTGAAATTTGCATATAATAGAAGAATTATGTGCAGAAAAATTGATTTTTACTTAATTTTCAGAAGTTTCTAGATTGTGACATTGATTAAACATTGTTTAAACTTGATTTAAACAATAATCTAGACTCTAACAGTATGCAACCCAACATACACCGGGAAAACAACAACAAAATGTCTACATTTGCAATACTAATCCATGTTTATTAATTAATCATTGAATATTCTTGATTAACTCGCATGTTACTATACATTATACATTTTCTGGCGACACTTTGGCACTACTGCATTACACTACATATTACACACTGTCAATTACAATATAATACAATACTCAATGATGGCTTTAATTCGTTTAAATATTTAAATCATCATCATTATCATATGCATGATATTTTGCGTTTACTTAGTGTAGCGTTCGCAGTCGACCAGTTTCTGCGCCTCGGCCTGCAAGCAGAAAATAATATCTTGCACATGTCACACATGTTGTGTCCAGTTGTGAACCATGCGTGAAGTATGGAAATATATTTATGCGAAACTGGAGGGTGTTTATTGTGCATGGTGTTGATAAAACCTACGTGTGGTAACTTGTGTGTGGAGGGTTTAGTCACCTGGATAATTTTATAGAGAAGCATGACGGTGTCCACCGACGACTTGCAGTTGTCGGCCGAGGGCGGAATGTTTCCGCCTGGTGCACGCTTACCCCAGCCGGTGGAGAAGTTTAATTGTGCTGAGCATACGCCGAGCACGACGAGAAGTACTACGACAAGGGCCATTCGACACATTTTTGCTGAAAATAAAGAGAAAAATTGATATTTTGTTGAAAAAACTGCAAAATTTGGTTAAAAATGTAGAAATTTATGTTGTTTTGATGTTTAAACAATTGTTATTTAGTTATTATATTGTTTATTACGTTGTTTTTACTTTTGAGTTGTAGTTTAATTTATTGGACAATAAAATTTGTTTGGTTTGTGCTATTTAGTTTAAAAACAATGCAGATATTTAAAAATGTTAATTTTTTAAAGAAAATTATGCAAAATTGCTACAAATTTTGTCTAAAATGGCAAAAAACAAGAGATAATTATGTTATCAATACTTTTTAAATAATAAAAGTTATATTTTGTAACATTTACAACCAAATTTGTTAAAATAATTAAAAATTTTGAAATTTTCATCAAAAAATTGTCAAAAAGACCATAACTCCCACAATTTTTATTATTTTTGATCAAAAAACATTATAATAATATCTTTAAGACAAATTCTATCAATTTTGAAGTTATTTCTATGATTTATTTAAGTTTTATGCGAAAAAAATCAAAAATATTAAAAAATTTCATCAAAATCTTCCAAAATTAGGTATGCAACTTATTTAACACCAATAAACAACACATAACTTGTATATATTTTTAATACAAATAATATTACCTTATTATTTTGTTGTAGAGAGTTGTCTTGAAGAAAGTTCTCGTGCTGAAAGTCTCAACCGTCTGAAGCAAACTGTTGCGCACTGGACGCGCGTCTTATCCTTTTATATCATCCCGTCCATCCCATGGCCGGAGCGTCGTCCTCGGCGTCCTCCTCCTGTCGCAGGACCCCGTGGGCCGTGGGCATTCCGTCGTTTCGTCGTTTTCCAATCAAATTAATTGAGGAACGAGGAAGCCCTGCGAGGCATCCGCGCCACTCCAACTCTCCACTCCGACCGGACGTGCGCGAAATCCTGCAAGATGAGCATGGGCATGATCAGCGTCGATAAGGCAAACAATAATAACAATTATGGCTCTGACGATATGATATATGTGTGGCAGGACTTTTTATAGACTGCGCGCATGTTTGGGCGGTGTGCGTGCAAACACGATTAAATGAAATTTGTTGTATTTTTGTTTCACATTCAATCACACACTGTTGCGGGGCGCAGCGATGCGTATTTTTATGTTTGTGTTGAAACAATAGAGAGGTAGATCAACATTAGGTAGCTGGATTCGTTGATTTGATTGGGATGAATTTCGACTGGATTGTTTAAATAGTGAGGGCGATGTTTAGTTACACGTTGTTAATTTTTATCAATTTCTAGAAAGCTTGAAGTAAAAAGTTTTAAAAAAATTAAAATTCTATAAAAATTGTTACTTTTCTTATACCTTTAACTGTGGTGATGAAAGGACTTATTTATCTCCACAATTTAAACACGTTAATACTTTCCTGCCTTTAAATCCAATCAAAAGTTGATAAAAATGATTTTTTTCCAAATTTTTGTAAATAAATTTTGAAAACACCTTAAATCTCCGAATTTATCCATTTTGCAGTATTTCTTTACTTAAATTAAGTTGTTTATATCAAATACTAATTTTTTACTTCAGTTATTTTTTAATATTTATTTTTTCCCTTGAATCAATTATGGAAATTCTTATTTTGTTATTTGTTGATTTTGTAATACTAATATAGGCAACCAGTTAATCAGACAACAATATAACTTGTCAAATTTTTTGTGGGCTTGATTGCTCCTGGATATTCTCGTTAATGAAATAAAACGAGCAAATAAACGTAATTTTCGGCCATAAAATATGTTTCCTAATTGATACAACATGCTACATAGTAGCAGTCGTTTATTTAATTACAATTTAGGCGCGTATTTACTTTTACTCTCACTAAAGAAGCTAATCAATTGTTTTTTTAGTACTGCCAAAATAAAAATAGTTTTTAAGTATTTTTGGAATAATGGAAACTTTCAATAGTAATTATACTGAATCAATCGCTATGTAGTTTTGTTCTCCAGTTCTTTTTTTGTCAATAAATGAACAGGGTCGTATTTAGATCATTTTTTCGTAGTTGGCAGCGCTGTAATGCGAACATAATTAATAAATTGATTAATAAACATGAAAAAACAAACAGTTTTTAAATATTTGAAGAAATATTTCAAAAAAATAAAATAAAAGCAAAATAATGAATAATTTGAATATTCCTGAACAACCTAACCTAAAAATATGCAAATACTAACTAATCTAACAAAACAAACAAATTACCTGATATAATACAACATAACAATAACAGATGAGCATTGAGATCATTCATTTTTAATGTATTTTATAAAATGTACTCATGTCCATATGCGTCATCGCACTACAGCACTGTTTAAAACATAACCTCGTTCATAATCTCGACATAATCGTTATTATCTCCACCCACAGATGCAATTAATCACTCCACCACTCTCGAAATGTTTAGTCATCTTTAGTCTACGTATAAAAATTAGCCGAATAAGAAAAACGAGCAATATGATTTACATTTACAAGTACAATTTCAAGTGTAACAATCAAAGAAGAAAAAAAACTCCCTAGCATCCTCACAACGCCATTGTGTGTCCTGCAATATTTTGGTTATTAGTTTACAACTTGTAGAAAATATAGCGTATGTACAACTATCGTCTACGGATTAAATACAAAGAGCTGCAATCATCAGTGTTGTCAAACGTTATTCAATTTAAACTAAACATACATAGCAGTACACAAAATAAATATTCGTTGTTTAAAATATTTCTCTAACCTAAGAGCGGTAGTAGAGTGAAAGACGATGAGGTCCATTGCTCATGCGCAATGCGTAACCAACCAACACACAGACAAAAATTGAAAATTCATTCGTTTTTTGTTCGGATACGTTATGTTTCAACCGCGCATGCGCAATGCAAAACAGAAATAAAACTAGGCTTAAGCTAAATGTTGTATCACACGTCTAAGAAGTCTTTCAGTAGTGTCACGCGCCGCTTTTCGGCAATGTCCATCTGGTTCTCGAGGTCGCCGCGATCGGTCGTCTCGGCTCGCTCGATCTTCCACGAGAGGTTCTCGATCTCCGCCTCTAACTGCGCCTGTTGGTACTCGAACAAGGAACTGCGCGAGCCTGGCTCCATGAAGTACGCGTACGGGTAAGTGTATTGAAGTGTGTAGCGACACTTGGCGAGCAGATTCGCGGCCACGAAGAGGTACTGCCAGTCGATCCAGGTGCCCAGGCCGGCCATTACCTTTTGGTTGATGCGTGTCTTTAGTTTTTCTAGGGTTTCAGCTTCGAGTTTCAAGGACTTCGAGTGGTTTTCCCAACGGCCGTAGTAGTGGAGGTATTTTTTCAGTGCTTCACGCGCCTGGAAGAAGAAATAATTGTAAAATGTTTAGTAATTTGTGATAAAAAGTACTAAACTTGTAGAAATTGGCCATATTTGATTAAAAAGCTTAAATTTCACTTAAATATTACGATTTTTGGTTAGAATTTGATCGTCTAAAAGTCATTTTAAGCAAAAAACGTAATTCAATACCATGAATAACATAAATAAAGTGAAATATTATTTAAATTTCTGTTTAAAAATCCTAATTCTATGTTTTAATCTCTTTTTTACGTCGAATAATCCTAGAAAATCAACTTTTTAACCAAAATTGAAGTTATGCAACCAGTTTTACACATTTTTCTTGCAAATTTTTGACAGATTGTCAAATTTTACCCTTTTTTCTTGTTTTACAACAGAAAATATTAACAAAAACACTAAGAAACACCCCAAACCTTTTCCTTTCAACTTTTTCTCCTTCATTTATTTTTTATTTGATATATTCTTTAAATTACCTGAGCGTGAATAGATTCGTGAGCAATATTGGGATTGTCCTTGTACCGCGAGCACTCATAGTATTCGGAGCCATGCTGCTTCCAATCGCCGAGGCACATCCAGCAGAAATCGTGCTTACAGTTGTAGCACTGCATGTGATTACAACCGCCATTCTTCTCGATGATGATGTGGCACTTGGGGCAGTCTTTCGTGTGCGCCGAAATGTAATTCGACGTTTCGCTATCGTCCGCGCACTTTGTCAGCCATTTCTTGATCACCGAGCAGTCTGTTGGTGCGTGATAATCCATTCCACATCTGTAAACATATAAAAAATATTTATTGTTCTTTATTTATATGTTTTGAGTGATTATTTAATTACCTGAAGCAAAATATCGACTTGCACTGATTGCAAACCGATCTCTTCGCTTTGCACTCCTTGCTTTTTATCACCACAGCGCAATTGGGGCCCGGACAGAAGCGCAGCTCCGGATGTGACTTGACGTAGTCCTGGAATGAAAACTGCTGATACTTTTCGCGCATATCCGGCTGCGTGAGGTGTTTGAGGACGAAATCTTCAGGCGCCAGCACTTCGCAATCGCGTGCCATGCAACTAATTGCCGTTGATATTCCCTAAATATTAATAATAATTAAATTAAAAATATTATTATGAAGTAGAGTGACGTACCTGATTAATTTGAACTTCAAAATGCATCGCCCAGCAATCCTTGCAGAACATATGGCCGCACAAAAGGCTGTAGAACTTATCGTTGTGCTGCGCCTGCACGCACACGGTGCAGTTGAGCAGTCGCGTCGCATTCGCCAGCGATAGCGTCGAAGACGGCTTGATTTTCGAGCCGATGAGGAGCTTATTTGCATCGTCACGGTATTTTGTTGTTATGTCTTGCACAGCCCAGTTGTGAGCATGTAACAATAACTAGAAAACAAAAAATTATGTTTACACTCAAGTTTCAGGTAGAAAAATAAGTAAATTACTTAAAACAACAACAATATCCAACTAGTTATTTGAATAACAACATTAAAAACACGTCTAAACATCAAATAACAATCAAAAACAGCAAAAAAATCAATTTTAGTGTTTTTCATCTACAAAAACATTTTTAACTTCAAAAATAACTTAAATATTCGTATAATATTCACTCAGGAAACAAATAAACACATTTTCAAAACATATTTAGACTTTGATCAAGTATTAATCTAATTATTTACTAAATAAATACCAAAATAATGCAAAAATTTACTTTAAAAAATCAATATATAAATAATTTACTTACTTTGGCAAGTGATGGTGTAATATGTACATTATTACTAAGCGTCTCGACGGACTCATTCAGCAGTCTCTCCACTTGCTCCTCGGTGAGGCAATCATAAGAAAAGTACTCTGGATCCCTAGCAGACGGATCGTTCTGCTCCATGTCGTTGTCGTCCTGATTCCATTGGTTGTAGTAAACGTCGTCGTCGTAGGCCTCGTTGTCGGAGCACTCCATGTCCGAGTCGTCCTGCACGTCCTGAAACTCGGCGTCCATCGCGTCGACACTGGTTCATCCACCGGGGCCACCAGGACAAGAAGGAATGCAATTCGTACTTTTCTAGAACTACTCGATTATGGTTGTGGTGCTAATGTGGGGCGTTCTGCGTTGACGCTTCATTTCCAAACAAAGTGATGTTCTTTTGTTTCTTTTTGTCTATGACTCGAAGAACTCGAGCTGGATAACCAAACGAATTGATCTAACAAATCACCAAAATCACCTGTTTACTGTCAGACGCCATTTTATTCTCGACACACGCACGAACACACGCGCAGAGGACTTGCAAGTGTCAACGACATTAAATGAAGCGATTAATTGGGAATTATCAACAATATATGAATTGAAATTAATAAAATAGATGTATATTTATAATTTAAATAGATATTATTAATACTTTTATTAGGTTTTTGGAGAGAAATCTGTTTTTAGTTTTAAATATTTTGAATTATGCGCCATCTTCAGATTCTAAATCTATTGGTTTAGCAAATTTAATGCAGTATAGGCAACCAACATTACACCAATTGTAATAATCCAAAAGTTATAAATTAAAACAAGATATTATTAAATTAACTCAATAATAAGCATATTTTAAACAATAAACCGTAAGAGTTTAAATGTGCATTAAATTTGCTTTTGTTTTTGTGAAAAGAATTTGCTATAAAATTCAAATAAAAATCGCACAAGTTTGTGTGCGTTGTGATTGGCCGCGGTAGTTAGGCAACCTTGTGACGCCCAGCAAAGAACAAATGAATGTTTAGTGTGTTGACATTTGGCTAGAACTGCCAGAAGTGAAATGGCGTCAACACCGTCGTCGCATTCGCGTTAGAATCATCGTTATCAGGGAGTCCTTGCTGTCCTCGCTCCTGCAGCCGCCTGCGCACGATAATGTTCAACGAGCTTTACACGTTCCGCGCGAGAGAGAAGCGCCGCGAGTCGATGCGGAAGTGATATCGCCGCCGCCGTCGTCGTCGGATGGGTGCGAGGGGTGTGCACTGAGTCGCAGTCCGCAGCCCCCACGTTTACCATCCCCAGGTTTTATTTCAATTTAATTATATCTCTCTCTCTGTCTCTTCTCGCCGCGAAACGGTTAATTGATAAAATTTAGTGTAATTTAAGTTCGAATTGTAAGTATAAGTAATCCAAAGCACCCACACGTTTTTCACATCAAATTCATACATAATTGTCTAATTAAATTGGATGGTTTGTTTGTAATAGGGTTAAAATGGCTCAACCCATACCCAATCAGAAGCGTAATCGCGTGTCGGTGACCGTCGAGCCGTCCGGATCATCTTCAGGCACTTCTGCTTCATCCAACAATCAGCTGTCGCAGATTCCCAATCCTGGTACTCTGACTGATGAATTGGCCGCGCTGTTCGAATGCCCGGTTTGTTTCGATATGGTACTGCCGCCGATTATGCAGTGCCAAGTGGGGCATTTGGTTTGTGCCAGCTGCAGGCCCAAGTTGACATGTTGTCCCACCTGTAGGGGCACTCTAGGTAAACTTTTTCAATATTTACTCAATATTTATCTCCAAATATTCATATTTGTGTTGTATTAGGTGATATAAGAAATTTGGCGATGGAGAAGGTGGCCAACAACCTGATGTTTCCATGCAAACACAAACAGAATGGCTGCCGGATGTCGCTTGGGCTCAATGAGAAAGCCGAGCATGAAGAAATCTGCGAATTTCGGCCCTATAGTTGTCCATGTCCGGGCGCTTCATGTTCCTGGCAGGTAATGATTAAATTTTCTTTTAAAAAATATGAGAAATTATTTATTTATTGTGGTTTTTTTGTAGGGTCAATTAGAAAAAGTTATGATTCACTTAAAGCACGCGCATCAAAACATTACCACTTTGAACGGTGAAGACATCGTTTTTCTGGCGACGGAGATCAATCTGCCTGGGGCTGTGGATTGGGTGATGATGCAGAGTTGTTTTGGGCATCATTTTATGCTCATTCTGGAGAAGCAGGAGAAGGTGGATGGGCATACGCAGTTCTTTGCTATTGTGCAGTTGATTGGCTCGAGGAAACAGGCGGAACATTTTGCCTACAGGTAAGTAAATTCAACTTTTTCTGTTTTAATCAAAGTATAATAAGTTTGATTGACATTCTGGGAATAACTTGATATGTTTTCTAAACATTTAGTGTTGTATTGTCAACAATTAGACCTGTATTTGTATTAAATCAAGCAAAAACCTTGAGGAAATAATAAAAAATTAAATTTTGCGGACATTTTCTGTTAAATTCAAGAAATAATAGTGAAAAACTTAGAAAAATGCATAAAAGTCACGTGATTTGATAGATTTTTCATGAAAAAACTGTTTTTTCTTTAAATAATGAATAATTTAAATATTTATAGACAAAATCAACAATTATCTTCCATAAACTTAAAGAAAAAACATGAAAAATCAAAAATTTACGAATTAATTGCTATTTATTAACCAATATTGATAAATTTCCAGATTGGAATTAAACGGTAATCGCCGTAGACTGACCTGGGAAGCAATGCCGCGCTCGAGTCACGAAGGCGTCGCCTCCGCCATCATGGGCTCCGATTGCCTGGTGTTCGACACGTCGATCGCGCAGCTCTTCGCCGACAACAACAACCTGGGCATCAACGTTACCATATCGGTGGTGTGCTGAGCGCGCGGCGCGCGTACAGTTGAGTATCGAGGCGCCTGTGACGCGCTCCCCACACACACTCAGCAGACTTTGGTTGGTTTTTATTTATTCTCATTATGCAACACAAGAACCGAATGAACACCAAGATATCTCTAGTTATCAATAGCCACACACTTGGAATATCAGTAAGAAGATGTTGTTACTTATAAAATAAGATTAAACGAGTTAACGAATACACACTTGACTCTTGCGTAAAGAGTTTTCTGGTTTTCATTGTGAACAGACTGACTGATGGAGGAAACAAAAGTAATCAGATGAATATGTATGATGATTGGCGTGGCAACGTATTTGTTGGTTGGCGTGAAGGAGAAAACTATTTTTAAACACAGAAAGATGCTAAGTGATAAAAAACGAACAAGATACTTATGAGGGCTTTTGTTTTATGTTTGTGATAACTAGCTGTTAAGAGTGTTTACTGATTATGTCCCGGGAATATCTTCATTTTTATTTTCGTTCTTGTTTTGTTCATTATTTCTCGAATTCTTGTTTGTTTTACTTTTGTTCAATTATTTCAAGAGGAGTTGATGATAGGGTAACGGAATTGGCGTTTTGTTCGTTTGTATCGTTTGCATGAGGCACTTGATGGCAGCTAATGTTTGACGGATAGTCGCAAGTGATGCTGAGAAAGAGGTGTTTTGCTTTTTCCTTTTGTACATTTCACACTCGGTTGCGTTTACCTGGTAACTATCAAATAGCGCAGGCGATTTGTCAAAGGATACTTTGTAAAATAACACTTAAAATACAAAATACAAATTTATATAAAATAAAATATTAAACTTGAAAATATGGAGTTTTATTCTCAAATTTCTTGCAAGTTTTTCAGTGTACGTTAATTACAGATTGTTCAAAGTTGTTCGATATTTTAATAATTATCAAAGTGAAGTTATTAGCTACTCTAAGCAGTTTTAACTAGTTAATATGGTTTAAAGCTAATTCTGTTAAATAATAATGCATTGAATTGTTTGTATCGCCATTTATCAGTGAAAATGTTGGAAATGGAAAATTGAAAGTCACGCTGTATAATTTCTTGTTGTGTAATGTTGATTGCCTACCATTACATAACATTTGCCAAAAATATCCTTTCCCAAGTCATATTAACGGCTTAAAATTGGTGTTTTGCTATGCTTTCTTTGAATATTACTAATAATTATGTTATTTACTATTATTAAAATAGGATTTTACACACAACAGCACTAATAAACAAACAAAAAACGGATTTTTTCATTTATTACGCATTAATATATAAGAAAACTAATTATATTTGGTTTTTATTGAGTTAAAATACCTAATTTCTGCTATGGATATTTATTATAATAAAATAAAATAAACAACAATGCTTATCTCCCATGTTTTTTCTCATCTATCGTGAATCTAATACTGAAGGCCATATAAAACTATTAATACATACAATCTGTCGCTAGATGTCGCTACCAATACCAATCTGAACATTTTATTAACAAATTCTCAACTTGTTTACAAGTATTTGCAATGAAAGATTCACCTTGCAATCATTATAATCTTATGTTGAAGGCCATGTAAAACTCTTAATACATACAATCTGCCGCTAGATGCCGCTACCAATACCATTCCAAACATTTTATTAACAATACCCCCAAATTGTTTACAAACATTTGCAACGAAAGATTCAACTTATAATCCTGTTTATCAAATGTTGAAGGCCATCTAAAACTATTAATACATTGCTTTTGTCGCTAGATGCCTCTACCATGCCCAATCCGAACATTTTACCAACAAATTCTCAACTTGTTATTATACATTTGCAATGAATGAATGATTCTCGCGGCAATTGAAGCATTGCGCCGCGCCGGCAAACCAAACAAACCGCACAAAGCGTGACCGTTGACGGACGATTGTCCACCGTATATGATATTACTGATTAAATTTCAACCGATGCGCTATGCTGAGCCGGCGAATATTGTTCATGTACATATTCGTATGATACTTACAATCGTGAGTTCAATAGTTCAACTTCACAATATATATACATGTATTAATAAAGACACTTGATAACTGTACTGTATAATTCTGATTCTGATTGTGGTTGTGCTTGTACCAGATTGATAATGGAGTTTTCTGGATTCCCACTTATTAACTAACAAGTAAAAGTAAAGTAAAGTAAAGTTAAATAAAATAAAAGAACAATAATTGGAATAAGTGGCACTCAACAACTGAATAAATTGCGTTTTCCGCGTGGTTTCCACTCAGTTATTGAAATAACGCGCGTGAAACAATGGCGGTGTTGTGGTGTTTACTCTTGGTGACTGTTTTAACCACGAGGGACATTTCTGCAAGCCCATATTCTTATAAAACTTTAACTTTGAGTGTCCCACTGGATCATTTCAGGTAAAAAAAAGAAAATTTACTAAAAACAAAGTAAAAACCTTTAAAACTCATTTTTGTAATAGTTACCGATCAAATGCAACGTTTGACTTGAGATATCTCGTGAATGATTCGCATTGGAAACCAGAGGGACCCATTTTTTTCTACACCGGAAATGAAGGTGACATTGAAGTCTTCGCGCAGAATACTGGTTTAATGTGGGAGATTGCGCCTGATTTCAATGCTATGCTAGTGTTTGCTGAGCACAGGTAACCTAAAAACCCCTAAAAAACAAAAGTTTGGTTATGTATTATAATATAACCTAAAATATTATAGATATTATGGAAAAACAATGCCGTTCCAAAACAAATCATATTCAGACGCTGAACATCTTGGTTATTTATCATCCACACAAGCCCTGGCTGATTTTGCGTATCTTCTGGACAATATACAAACAAATCTGGCAAAAAGTAATAAAAATAAACCAGTTCCAGTGATTGCATTCGGTGGATCCTATGGTGGGATGCTAGCAGCTTGGATGAGACTCAAATATCCATGGGTTATCAATGGTGCTGTAGCATCCTCTGCGCCAATATATCAATTCCAAGGACTTACTCCTTGTAATACTTATTCTAACCTAGTCGCGGATGTTTTCAACGTCTCATCAAAAACTGGTGAATGTCCAAAGAATATAAAACGTAGTTGGGCGGCCATAAGGTGAAATAAAACAACATAACCTCAATTATAATATAATAAAACATAACATAACCTATATTATAGAAACATAACCACAACAAAAGAAGGTCGTGATTGGTTGACGAATGAATGGCACCTCTGCGCGTCCCTAAACAGCACCGAAGATCTTTCGAAATTAAACCTAGCGGTGAAGAACATTTTCAGCGTGGTGCCGATGATTAATTATCCTTATCCAACGGAGTTCCTCATGCCGGTCCCAGCACACCCCGTTCGTGAAATGTGCGCGCACCTGGACGATAAGAAGACATTGGACATGGATCTGCTCACTGCAATTGGCAAGGCATTATCAGTTTACACGAATTATACAGGCGCTACGAAATGTTTCAATGTGAATAACACCAATGGTAATATCGATGGAAATGGTTGGGATTTCCAGGCGTGTACGGAAATAGTAATGCCTTATTGTGTTGATAACGCCAACGGTATCTTTGAACCTGAATCATGGGACTTCCCAAAATTTTCGAATGATTGTATGCAAAAGTTTGGCGTGTCTGCCAAGCGTGAAGACTACGCCATTTTGAATTATGGCGGGAAAGACGCGGAATATTCAAATATTATCTTTACTAATGGATTGTTAGACCCGTGGTCACCAGGTGGCGTTCTCAACTCATCCAGTACTTCTGTGTATACTATTGTTATACCGGATGCGGCCCACCATCTTGATTTACGCGCTAGTAACCCAGGAGATCCGGATACTGTCAAAAATGCACGCACACTCATCCAAAACATTCTCCATGTTTGGTTGAAATCAATCTCAAATAATGTTTAGAGTTTAGAACACCCTGTATATTTTTTAACTCCTAGATGTAGATAAATAGTTGAAACGAGTTCTTTCCCAAAACTCCGCAGGGCATTCTTTGTAGACTCTTTGCCAAATTACCAATAAAAAGCGATGTTTAAACTTAATCATTGTTAAGGAAACTTTGACATGATGGATATTATATTTTATCACCGGAAAATTACACGATGACGTAATCATTTTTTCCCTCGGCCACGCTGAAAAGAATTCCACGCGACATCTTAATCTTCATTATTGAGGTTATGAATAAATGAAGAGAAGTTCACCTCGGGCGATAAATAACGCGCAAAAAGTGTTGAAGATTAATGGCGGCCAATAAAGCGACGTCCTACTTCATTTGAATGTGATTTATGTCAAATGTCATCAACTGTGTGAGGTAAAAAAGTGTTTGCGCTACAATTACTCGTGTTTGAAGTGGGCGACGAGTGGAGACACTTGCGAAACCAGAAATTGCGTCAGGACGACAAACTACAAGTGTGCAAGATGTGTTGCCGCGTTCCAAGGCGTCCTCTAACAGCTTCAACACTGCACGATCAAATCATCTTCTTTTGTCGGGGCCCTCGTGCGTTTTCATTGATGGCGTTCTACACCCACATGGATAATGCGCGTGTGAAAGCTTCGCGTAACAAGAAGCCGACAGGCGTTGAATGCGCGCCGCCGTCAGGAGTGCTCCACGAAGACACGACGCCGACAAATGGCGTGTTCTTCGACGGGGTCCTCGATAGTCTGCTTTACAGGATTTAGCATATAATGAGACACTTGAGTTTGTTGGAAGTTGGCGCGACGCGTTGGAAGCAAGCGTATACAAGATGTGTTCTCAAGTGTTCGTTACATATGCTTCATCTGAAAAGCCAGCGATAAAATTTAATTTCAAGCGTGTAATATGGGTTGCCTAGAGTTTTTGTTGAGTTTTCCAATCGAAACAATTATAGGTGGCTTTGTTTCGGTGGAAAAGTTGAATTGAACTGAAGACGACACTTCGAATCCGTTCTTTTTTTGCTTCTTTTGATGGTTTAGCACAATCGAATTCGCGGGATAACAAATCGTGGACATTTTTCTTTTACGCGCTGTAGGGGAGTGGAAAAACAAGGCGCGAGGCGCAATAACACGACAAGGACACTATCACGGTAACCAGGCATTTACAGAGACGTATTTAAATCGTTTTAAAACATTTTAAAACCTAAAAAACAAAAATTACTTTTTTATTATTTTAGTGTATATTGTGTTGCCTACCTTAAACATACACAATGTCATAATACAAAATCCGTCTCTGTTTTGTAAGACTTGTAAGACATAGCAAAAAAGGGTGAGGATGAATTCGACGCATTGTTGTCGACTTTACAAATGACTCTCAGCTAATACGCATTAAAGCCTTGCGAGACATTCAGAAGGCGATTGGCAATCAGCATCCGAGATTGATCGTTCTGATTCAATGAACGACGTGCACTAATAGCGTGTAATTACACTCTTTACCAAGAAATGCGTTTCTTTTCGGGTTTTGTAATTCTGTTTCGGGTTATTGTCAGACGTGCGCGGAAGGCGGAAAAATAAATTCCGCGCTCGTAGTTCATAAATTCGGTTAGATGGCGTCGGCGGCGCGCAGGTGTAATAAAAATATCGTCAGTTTGCACAACTCATCGACTCATCTGGTCTTCGTTAAGTAACTTAATATAATGGTCGAGCAAACCTCGTTTGTTTGACGAGAACGAGACGAGCGGCACAAAAATGAACACTAACACGATTGGAAAGACGAAAAAAATAAATCCAGCGCTCTGTATCTTTACTACGTGTAATTTTTAGCTGAAATTTTGTTAATAGTTGATTTTTTGGTTTTAATTCACTTTAACGCCATCTGGGATTGAATTAAGTAGCTAAAACTATGATTAAATCACTATATAAACTTTCATTGCTTATTTAACACTCTGTATGTTATTATTTTTTAATAAAAATTATTCTATATCCTTCTCAATACTTTTAAGAATATTTATTAAAAATTTCATGATGATTGGTTTAGTAGTTTTTGCGTGAAAGTGAAACAAACATACAATTACACATAAAAACACATTTTTACATGTATAATACTAATAAAAGTAAGGATTTCTGTTATGAGTATTTTTTCAATTGTGAATTTTTGAGTTTTCAAAAATAAATTGAGCAAATTTAACAAATATTACTCTCGTGGAGTTGCTGCGAGCTGTGAAAATGTTACACAAGCTGCATTTTCTTGCCGGTGTGTGCGCGGGGATGAGTTGCGAACGTTGCGAGTCGGAACATGAACATGGATGGATGCGGACAATCCGCTTCCGCCGCGTCGGCACTTTCGCGGCAGTTGAAAATGTTGAAATAAGAGGAATCGCTGCGAAGCGTGCGAACGCGGGCGGGATGATCGCAAATCGTCAGGTAGCGGCGGCGGCGGCAACGTCGAAGTTCGTTCGCCACGGTTTTCGTTCGTTCTTCTTTTTGTATTCCGCCTCACATATCTCCGGGCGCAGCTTCTTTAAAATTCCCAATACATTCCCAATACGGAGGAGACTTTTAGAAAAGAGAAACGAGCGAAAAAATTCCGGCCAAATGTAATTTGGAAATTAAAGTCCTAAAGACGTTAAGGCAACTCATGAAACGACGGCGGACTACGTAAGGAGGGCGAAAATATGAAATGAAAATCACGCTTTTACTCTTTAAATCATTCAGGCAAGTTTTGAGCCAAGGTTTCCAGAAACAAATTGCTGCACAGATAAAGAATTACAGTATTCTTTTAAAAATGTGAAATTTATTTTAAAATTTTTTTTTTGAGTTATTAGGCATAGAAATCATTTATTGATAGTTATAATTTGTATTGATTAATTAAAAATTAAAAAATCAAATCAATTTTTAGCATAATTTTAAAGTTTTTGCAAAAAAATCTGAACAAAAACAAAATTTTTCAATTTTAACATTTTTGGAGCAAAATTTTGGGTATTTTGGATTGTTTTAAACAGTGTTAAGGTAAATTATATTATTAAGAAACTATTTAACTATCAAAATGAGCAAAAAACAACAAAATATTGCTGTGTATTTAAGAATTACAACAATTTTTAGGTCAAAATTTTGAAATTTTTGTTTTATACGCGGTTTTTTAAATTTTAAGGATAATTTCCTTTAGAAAACAATAAATTAATAATTTTTTCACATTTATATACTAACTAGCTTTAACCCTTGGCTTCGCTCGCGAATATCTAAAATAATGAGGTTGCTTCCGTACGCGTCTGTAGTCACAGAAGAAGTAACAATGAAGTTGAATGGCGGGAAGTTTAAAATGGCTGAAAGTATAGTCTATGGAAGTATAGTGTACAGTCTCCATAGTGTAGTCAATTGGATTTGATGTTGACGTAGCTGTCGGTAATACAGTGTGATAATACAGTGTGATGGTACTATAGTACTTAGGTTTGAGCTTCATTGCTGGAATGCTAGATGGCGTTAAAGTAGTGAAATAGCCAGATGCAGAGGTATTATTGGCTAAACAATTTCTTTATTTTATTTAAAAATTAATTTTTTGATTAAATAAAAAGTAGCCTATAACCATTCGGGGACCACTAAGAATATGTGTACAAATTTTCATGATGATTGGTTAAGTAATTTTTGCGTGAAAGTGTAACAAACATCAGGAATTTTGCATTTATAATATTAGTAGGGATATAAACAATAAATACTTAAAAAAAATATTTTTTTGCTAAAAAAACAAATTTTTTTAAATAAATTTCAACAATATCAATCAAATTTTAACCAAAAATCTCAAGGTGTTACAGAATATCATGTATCATGTAGCAATTCTGTTTATCTTCAAATCCTGTCAAAATGTGAACCTTTAATCTTGCCCCCACAACCTCCATACGACCTCCAACCCCCGACTTTCACACTCCATGTTCAATTTATCAGCCGCCTGCAATCTGCGTTTGCCTCCGCTGAAAGCACTAGCAAATGAAACTTTACGCGAACGCAGGAAGCAAGTGAAAGGAAAAACAACCGCGCAACCACACGGAGTGAAATCTGGCCGTTTTCATAAATATTTAATGCACACACGGCGCGTGCACCACCAGACCAACATCCTCAGATGCTCATGCTCTTTGAGAAACGTTTTCCTCAAACACACACCCTATACTGCTAGGCTTACACAAATTAAACCCCAAATGTGTTTGGTAAGCAGTGATCAAATATTTGCAATAATAATAATCCTAGTTGTAAAATTCACCTTCACCTTCGCTTTCATCTCTCATCTTAAACCCTCAAAATGTTTAAAAATCAAAAATAAAATTTTTAAACATTTTTAACTCTTAAATTCTAAGTATATAGCAACGTGAACATGTGGTGAAGTTAAAGTTAGACGTTTTGTTTGTTTGACCCCTCGAGCACGGCCACCCTCCTTACACCCGCCGCGCGCGGTTCTGAACTTTCAGACGTTTCTATTCATATTAACGTGTTTGACTTGGCCGTATAAAGGTGAATACTTCGACCAACTCGCGCGCCGAGCGGGAGAACTTGAAGTTGCCTTGGCTGTGCAAACGCAAACTCCATCCTTCATCGGCGTGGAAACGTATAGAGTCCAACATGGCTTCAACATCAACACGTATTATTGCCGCGCGTTCACTTGGTTGCATAAGATTAGCCAACCCTACACACGCTGCTTTCTTACGCATACCTTACGCGTACAGTAAAGAGAAGGGTGAGTTGTTTGAGTGTTTACCGATCATAACCTCAGAACTTGACTGCGAGGTGTCACCACTGCGTCAATTATAAACCACACGCATTAGTGCAGCATCACGTAGGCCACACAAACTACAAACTAAAACAAAACTAAATAAATTGCTTGAGTCGCACGCACAAATTATGAATATCCAACATTGGATGCTTGTAACTGTTGAAAAACAAAGCAGAATAGAATTGTGAGGAGGGAAGAGGATGGATTCGATCTGTAGATAGACGGACGGATGTGGAATAGGCGCGTAGACCTTCTCTCACACCCTATAACTTGGGAGTTCTTGTGTGGGTTGGGTTGCCGGGCTGTGGTCGGCCGCCGCTGATTACTTCAGACAACGGCATCTGGTGCCCGATTCGTTTCTGATTGCTGTATAAATAAAATGAAATTTCGTTCAATGCTCTCCTCGGACAGCTCCCACCAAATTATACGCGTACAATATACAAGGTGTAGAGTTTTTTTAATCATCTCTAATCTCTACTAATATTATAAATGCGAAAGTCCTGATGTTTGTTACACTTTCACGCAAAAACTACTTAACAGATCATCATGATAATTTATACACATATTCTTAGTGGTCCCCGAATGGTTATAGGCTACTTTTTATTTAATAAAAATAATATTTTTTTAAAATAAAATAAAGAAATAGTTTAGCCAATAATACCTCTGCATCTGGCTATTTGACTACTTTAACGCCATCTAGCATTCCAGCAATGAAGCTCAAACCTAAGTACTATAGTACCATCACACTGTATTATCACACTGTATTATCGACAGCTACGTCAACATCAAATCCAATTGACTACACTATGGAGACTGTACACTATACTTCCATAGACTATGCTTTCAGCCATTTTAAACTTCCCGCCATTCTACTTCATTGTTACTTCTTCTGTGACTACAGACGCGTACGGAAGCAACTTCATTATTTTAGATATTCGCGAGCGAAGCCGCGGGTTAAAGCTAGTCTTATATAATCTTTATATTATCTTGGAGCATTCGAAGTGAAATAATTTCATTTGGCGATATGCAAGTATTTCATGTGTAAGAATCTGCTTTGATGTCAAAGTAAATCAAAGCGTATCAAATCTAATGTCGTGTGAAGAACTCATTCGAATGTATAACCTCACACATGAATGACAGCTATATTCAGGAGGTTGTAGTTAATTAAATGATGAAAATTGCAGTTTTAATCGAAATATTTTTTCAACACATGTCACGCGGAGCGCAGAGGAAATGGGAATAACTACGGAATGTGTTTGTTGTGTTGCATATGTCAATCTGTTTTGAAAAAACATAAATTTTATGTGTAAAATTAAATTTTTAAGGTTTTTTAGGTTAGATTTAGTTGGAATTAGTCCCTAAAAGTAAAATATGTTAGATGTGTTGCCTATAACAATGTATTTCTTTAAAATTTGTGTGTATAATTAAATTTTTAAGCTTTTTAAGGTTAAATTTAGTTGGAATAAATCCCCAAAAGTAAAATATGTTAAATGTGTTGCCTATGTCAATCTATTTCTTTATATTTATGTGTAAAATGAAGTTTTTACTTTAAATTTAAATTTTTTGAGTTTAGAAAGTCCCAAAACATGGTTATAACTAAATTATATCAAAAGTGACTTAAGTTTTTGCTTCCCAAGAGATTTCCAAGTGTTTATCATGGTTAAAACTCGATTTACAACATATTTAATTACATTTAAAGCAATGTAATCTCAAAATGTCGCTCAAAAGATGATTTTATCTGTGTTTGACCGCAAACTTTCAAAGATGTTTACTTACCCAGAAGCAAAACTTATGCCTTAATCATTTAGTCCACACGAATGCATAGTCCTTCTTTCGTCGCAGCAGCTCACTCGGAAAGTCGTCCTTTTCCTCTTCCGAGAAATGTTGCATTTGCAAAGAGGTAAAATCACCGAAGCCACTTTCGTAAATTAAATTCCCTACCGATATTAATGCTGAAGATTCGTGTATGTGTGGTTGCGGAAATATGCTGAATGCACAAAATGGAAAAAAATAAATAAATCACAATCCCGAGTAGATTTCGATAATTTAATAACAAATATTGCAATAAATTACAATTACAAATTATCTATAAATCATCAAGCACCATCGATGTGCAATAAAACCAATAATTCCACGCGATCAATTGCACATTAATTAACTCACCTGTGTATCCACGTTTGTGGAATGTTGGTTGCCTAGGGAAATAACTGGATACAGAAATAAGTGAACTATGAATGATGTCATTATTTTATTTATCGTATTTATCGCTCCCTCACAGTTTCATCTCTTTTTACAAACGCACACAGTGAGCACATTCAAGTTTATCATAATAACCTATGCGGTAATGATTGCTGAGTTGGTAATCGTTTCAAAATACGCGCATGCGCATTCAATACTTACTGAATCAAAAGCGCGGTAGTTACAAATACAATCAGCGCCATCTGTTGAATACTTGCAATCATATACAGAGTGTTACATGTTACAAATAATCATGCTTTAAAAATTTAATCATTATTTACGTATCAATATTGTTTGCATTTACGTTATTTTACTTTATAATAATTTAGTTTATAATTAATTAAGTGTGTGTGTTTGGGTGTGTGTTGGTAATATTTACAATGTCCTGTATATGTTTGTATCTACATTTAATATACATTCATAGTCAATATCAATTTTTAACACGAACCAATTGGAAACTGAATAGTTAATGTTCACAAAATTGATATCGTTAATATTTTATGATTATAATATTACTAACTTAATGCCAACGATTAAAATTTAAACATTTTCAACATTTTTTCCTTTTGATTTCTCATTTTTTAGTAAACACAATCAAACGGATGACTTGTGTCGCCACCTAGCGGCGAGCAGTAGGAGTTCACGTTGCGGTTATGACTACGTCAATAGACTAACGAGCGTGCGCGCATTACAAACGGTAAAAGTTTTAGTTTTATGTTAAGCTACGTGTTAAGCCTAGTTAAGATTTTTTTTGTTACCGAAACCGACTGAGAAACACGCTAATACCCTGTTTTGTTTTTGTCAGTAAATGAAATAATACTGAAGATAAACATATGTGAATTATAACAATGTGTGAGTTGTTTGTGTCACCTATAGATGGCGGTAGTTGTGTGTGAATTTAATGATTTTACTTCCCTACAGATTTGAAAAACAATTTTTTTTTGTGACTATTTTGGTTTGGAAAAGAGTTTTACTAGTTTTGACATCTTCCCCCGCCCCGGTGGTGACTGCTGTGAGTGTGTGTTGTTTTTAATTCCTTTATCCTGCTCCCCCCCCCACACAGCCCCTCGCGCTGTCAGCGAAGTTCGCGTCTCGCGTCGCGAACAAGTGAAAATTAGTATGCAACGCTAGTCTATGCTAATTTTGTATAGTAAATTAGTTCATTTCATTATCCTAACTGATTTTCAGTCTTGATTTAAAAATATACTCCAGTTGCTTCCTTAGCTATATGTGTCTACACTTGTTTTTCTGTTTTCTTGTTTATAATATTCATATATATTCATATTTATATTTGTATATATATATCATAGTCGTATCGTATCCGTAGTGTTTAAAGTTATGTTTACCAGCACGTTCTCAATATATCAATCTTATTCATTTTAGGTTATCAGTTAGCTTACGAGTTAGGTATCATTTTTTGTTTTTGGTTTTTGTAAACATAATATAGTTTTATTTATAATACGATAACAGAAATTGCGCATTGGGTTTTTATATATTTGCCATCGGTTATGCGCTGCGCTAACACGTGCGTCAATGTGTGTGGTGTGTGGCCTATGCTTGCGCCTATGACTAGCTTACTCTATTTACGCTCTTCACCGCTGCGTTGTCCACAGCGCTAGTGTTGCCATCAGGATGTATAATGGCGCGGAGCATATCCTCGTTAGCTTAAATCTTGAATCTGTAAACAAACAAAGAAAAAACATGAAAAATTAGTTAAAACATGGATAACTCAAGTACGACTGGATAGATTTTGTTGATTTATGGTTTGTTTTATTCGTCTTAACCTCGAATATGAGAATAAATATTAAAATATTTTAAATTATGTCTTAAAGGGAGTTAAATAAGGGCTGGAAATTTATAGGGAGATTTATTCATAGTTATAGTTCAGCAATTGAATCCTAGGTGGCGCTAAAGTGCATTATTACCATTTCTAATTTTTTTAAAGTAAAATTTTAAGTCTTTTAAGATGAAAGTAAAATTTGTTTACATTTTGACTAAAAACTTCGAAGGCAAAATCGTGAGTATTGAATAATATGCAATGTTGGTTGCATACATTGTACATATAAATATTTAATGCATTTCAAGTGTTGCTTGCATAGAGAATTTTTGATCTGAAAAATTCCACCTCTGCATTCATAATTGAGTATGTGCTGAACAACCGCAACGGTATCACAATGTTGCAGAACCAAAAATAGTCGTCGCATTGTCTTTGATCTGTGCACATATAATATTCCCTCTTTGCACACTTGGCATTTACATCCAAATCTAGATTTGCTACGCAACAATGTAATATAAAGTATAAAGTATAAATTGTGTGACTTTAGAAGTCTTTAGAAAATAAAAAATGATGTCTACCTCCGCCATTTTGTTTGACGTGGTAAGTTAGGTTATGTTTCAATGGGTACAATTACTATCCAATTTTTGTATTGGTCTAAAGTCCTGATCTTGAGGAAATAGCAAAGCGGGCTTCCTTTTTTGTTGATTTTTTTTATGTGCGTCGAAAGTACAAACGCCGTCGGAAATGGAGTTTTCTCAATTTCCTATGAGTCAGATTGACCTCGACGTGGGCACGTCCGACACACCGCGACTGCAGGACACGGGACGTCGATGCCGCTGAAAGGAATCGAATTATTATCGCGACGGCAGGTCTCTCAAGCAAGCACCTGTCTACCGCTGTGTGTATCCAATGTCGCAGATCTGCGCCCGACAGACAATTTAAATGGAAATTTCTTCAAATGACCACATCATTCACATCGATAGTTGCTATACAAGTTATTGTCGTATAAATTGTGGAAATAATCATATTTCTATGTTAGACCCATTTTAATATATGCAACCAACAATACTTAGGTGTGTAGTGGGTTGCATACAGTTATTACTGTCAAAGGGACTTGATTGTTGCAAAATTATAGTAAAAACTAACCTAAAAACTAAAAAAATGTCAAAAATTGATGAAAAAGTCCTTTTACTAAGCCTGCTGGACAAAAAATTGATCCAAAGTCAAGATGGCGCAGGATTAACCTCACTAATAGTTGTTATTCCCGTTTTTATCTTCAAAATTGTGAAAATAATCATATTTCTATGTTGTATCCATTTTAATATATGCAACCAACAATACTTAGGTGTATAGTGGTTTGCATACAGTTATTACTGTCAAAGGGACTTGATTCGGTTAAATTATAGTAAAAACTAACCTAAAATCTAAAAAATGTCAAAAATTTATAAAAAAAAGTCTTTATACTAAGCCTGCTGGTCAAAAAATTAATGTAAAGTCAAGATGGCGCAGTATTAACTTCATCAATAATTGTTTTTCCCGTTTTTATCTTCAAAATTGTGAAAATAATCATATTTTTAAGTTAAACTTATTTTAATATATGCAACTTACAATACAAAGATGTATAATAGGTTGCATATAGTTATTACATCAAAAGCAACTTGATTGGTCAAAAAATAACCTCAATTCTATACTATTTAACCTCATACTACGTTTCCTAGAAAAAAAACTGATCCAAATTCAAGATGATTTACTCTAAAGCAACTTTTGCTTTCCTTTTGCACCAGAGAGAAAGTTAAAAGACGCCGCCGCCTGAAAATCATGAGCATTCCCGCATGGGACTTGAAGTCAATCGGAATACGCTTGTAAGTACATGGTTAAAATTCAAATCTCCTAGTCTCGCGAGACTCAGAAAGAGGAACTGCCGCAACGAAACCTGCCACCACACTCAATTCCCCCCGACAGCCGCCCTCAAAGCTCCCACTGCATCATACATACATGTCACACTAACACTCCTATAGTGTGAGGTTAGATAAAATAATATAATATTAACCAAAAGGCTTACTTGATGAGTTCTCTTCCGAGGAGGGCCACTCATAGATGACTCCTTTGGAATCCACATCCGTGCTGGACTTTTGTTCCGATTTGTCGATCTCATTCAGATTGGATTGATACTTTGAACCTGGAAACATAAAATTTATTAGTTTTGATTTGAGGTTATGATGAATATGAATTGAAGGTGGTTGTTGATTTGATATCAGAGATAGAGAAAAGAGAGTGTTGTTGCTAATTGTGTTTGAAAACCATGCTGTGCGCTGTGCAAGAAGTGTGTGCTTGCCGAAATCACCCAAAGGGTTAACCTCACAAAATAACCTCAAAAATATGCCCGGATATACAGGGTGTTCATGAGTAATCCACGCGTTTTAAGATGGGGGATTGTTTTCTGATTGTGTTTGGGGTCATGGTGGATACCTTTCTCCGCTAAATGGGTATTGAGGGATGTCTGATTGCCGTAGACGGAGTTGTTGAGATCACCGCTGCCGGCCCATGAGTCCTTGCTCCGGCCACTCGGTGCATCCGTGGTGGTCGGCCGGGGCGAGGTGGTCGGCGGCGAGGAAGCTGCGACAAAAACATGCATCAACATCCTCCCTCTCAAACCCCTTCAAAAATCTTGATTGATTTTATATTGAATTTATCGACGCTTCTCTTTTTTTATTTTCAGCATTAAATGGGAGTTTATCGTATTTTATAGTTTATTTTTTGATGTGTTGGTGCCACCTGAAACAAAAGCCATGCAGGCGGTGCGGATGATGATTGACATGCAGGCAATTTCGGCTGTGCGTTGACTACTGTTACCGCAAGGATGCAAAGGACGAGGACAATGGCGCTAGAAATTCGTTTTTACTGATGAATTACGGAATTCGAACACAGTGACACTGATTGACTGCTGCAACTCAATTAGATGACGTTGGAGGCGGCGGCGGCGGTGGTGTTGACAAGTGTCGGCGCAAATTCGTGCCACGTGAATAAGTGCCAATCAAGATTAATAACCAAATTAAACCTTCAAAAAAACATAACCTGAAAAAAAACCTAACCTAAAAACGTTATATTTTATCTCGAAATTTTTTTGCAGTAATAATCCACTCGGCGAATTGTTTTGCAAGCTGTTTGCTGAACATTGTCTTTCTCGGAGGCGGCGGAGGTGGCAAAGATCTTACGCGAGGAGTCAGCCAAAGCCGTTGGCATGGAAACGACACGTGTTGAGCGCGCTGTGTTACTTTGTGAATCCTGTCACGTTACGAGATGAAAAGGGACCGTCGGGATGTACGCCGCCGCCGCTGCCGCCGCCGTCGATTATTCCAGAGGTGCGAGTGCAACACCCTTGTTTCTACAATTGCCACCCCCAATGTGTTGATACAGCCGCCAAATTATTGTGACAGTTACAAAAGTTTGATTGAATTACGCACATGCTACTTACCGCCTCACACATGTTGGGGGTGGTTTTTAAGTTTTTCACATGCCAAAGTAAAAAGTAAGTTTTGTGCACGTGCAATGAATGTAATTGGTCATTGTCAGATTTCTGGAGTTTTTTTGTTCAGTTCTGCCGCCTCCTGACCGCCCCCGAGAGTTTGCAGCATCTTCTTCTTATCGTCGGAGATCAAGTTTTTTTTTTTTTCTGCTGCGTCCCGAGTGCTGTTGTTCCTGGCTTGTAATTGCTGTGTAACTAGTTGGCGGCGAGCGGCGGCGGCGGCGGCAGATGAAATACGAGCGCGCATCTGTCGCCCGTTATTGTTGTGGCACACAAGTTTCTTTGCGAAGTACTTTCTAACGGTTTCCAGATAGATGACGCCCGGCGATTCCACTTTTATGGCAAATTGCTCTATAACGGCGTAATTTATGGCCGCCCGGACCCACCCGCCCCCACCACTAATAATTTATGCCGTTCGCGAGCCAAATATTAAGATGTTACTGATATCGCCAAGCACTGTCTAATCTTAATTACTTTACGTAGTTTAATTACCGCTAGACGGTGTCGAATCGATCGAACTACAGAATTCTGAATCGCAGACTCAGAATCGCAAACACAGAATACTCGTATAATGAAGGTATAAGGATTAGTGATTTAATAAAGGAGTTTTTTACTTATAAGCAAATAGCTGGTGATTTGTGACTTAAAATTAAATTACGTGATTTATGTAAGTTCAGAATAAATTTACTTACTGTAAAGTCTAATGGTGCCATCTGTCTCGCCACGTGGATTTTTCGCCACGCACTTGTAAGTCCCATAATCAGCTTGTTGAATATTTGCGATGGTCAAGGTCATGTGGGTTTTGTACGCCGGGGAACCCACCACGTTTGCAGTGCTGTATTTGCGGGAATCGTGAATCATCTGGCCATCGTCACGAGTCCAATAGTTTAGCGAGCTTGGGTGAGCTTCGGTGAAACACTCCAGTGTCACAGAATACGCTAATGGAGCACCTACGAGTTGATGTGGGATCCAGAGCATCGGTGGGACTGAAAGTGACAAAAACCATTGTCAAAAGATGTTAAACAGTTGATATATACAGTTGTAGCCCGGCGCCTCCACTAAATGCTCTCAATGTGTTTCTAACAGACAAAACAAAATTTGCGAGAAATTTAAATTTACAACTTGTTTAAATGCATTACATTTTACACATTGATAGTAATTGTTAAAATTTAAGTTTTTGTTTTTTTATTTATTTTTTGAATAAAAGAAGATTCTTTATTGTTATTTTTATTTGTGTGCGTCTACGATTCGATTCCTTTGAATTATTGCTTTGTAAGATGATTATACAGAGTGTTGATGATATATTTGTATTAAAAAAAGATTTATCCAGTGGAAATATGTTGTATTGTCTCATTCATAACCATCATCCGCCATCAAAGCTTTAAATCTCTCTCCTTTACGGCAAAGAATCCCACATAAATCCTCGATGTGCATAAAAAGAATTGGATCTTTCTCCTGATGCACTCCATTTTCTCGAGGGTAGCCGGAAAATGCAGTGAATGTTGATGGAGGGTCGCTGAGGTTAAGGGTGCGCTACCCTCGTAATTTATATTATATAAATGATTGCTTCTTTATAGAAATCTGAATCTCAATTGATTTCCACATTAATAAAATCAGACTAATTAAGAGAATTTCATAAAAAATTAAATTAATTTGTTCAGTAAAAATAAAAAGTTTAAAAAATATTTTGCTATTTATATGAGTAAAAACAATTTTTGTATGTTTGTGTCTCAGTAACTTCTAAACGGCTGAACAAATTTTAAAGAAATTTTCAGATTATCCTAACAAGTGATCCTGTCAAGTTTTGTTGTTAAATATTAACTAGAAGGGTGTTAAATAAGGGCTGAAAGTTCTTATGGCAATTTTATAATAGTTATAATTCTATAATTCAAGTGCAGATGGCGCTGAAAGGCATTTGGAGATAATTTAAATTAACTAAAATTTTTTACTTAATTTTTATAAGATAAGGGTAGTTTTCTTATACATTCCTTAATATTGAATGATTCTTCCCAAGATACTATGTGAAACATTGTAGAACGTAACCGAATGTCTAAACGCCAGTTTAAAATGTCTTGGTGGGCGGCCGGAATCCGTTACCACCCCCTCGTGTGTGTCAATCCACGAGCCCCCGAGATAAATACCAGCCGGAGCAGATCAAGGCTAATGTTCCATTTGTACTGGTGACAAACTGACGAGAGAACAACCGGAAGCCACCAAGGAAACAAGAATAAATTCCTATACAAAGTGTTCCCAAACCTCCACCTATAAAAAAACTCTCCACACTAAAATATTTTTATCACAACACTCTGAATATGTGTCTTTCAAGTAGAATCCTGATTCGAATCGTTTGTCCTAGCAATTTTTTCTCGTGTGTAGGAAACGTGGTTTTAGTTGCGTGTGTTGACAAGACAAATGCTCGCGATCATTCTTCCGGTTTTCCGGAACGCGAGCATCTTGCCTGTTTTGCATTTAAATTATTTAAACGAGTATCAATCACAGACTACCCCTCGACAAACCGAGTAGGCAACCAACCAACCACGGACACAAACGTTAATTGCATCGCACGCTATAAGTACCCAGTTAATTATTATTTTAAAACAACAAAACAAATAAAAAATTACAATACAATAATGAAATGAATGTTGTTTGAGTGTTTTACGTGTTAAATATGTAACAATTTAAAAGTTTAGTTTGGTGTGATGATGTGTCGACTTTCAGCCAAACAGATCATTGGATAAATGGCGCTGCAAAGCCGAAACCAAAGCGCACATTACACCTCCACACGATACGTGTTTTAAGTACGGGTTGTTCCGGGGGTGTATGTGTGGGATGTGCGCGCGGTTTATGTTACACGCCACACCGAAGCGTCACCATTAATCACCCTTAAATTATATATGCGCCGTGCGTATTTAACACAAATTTTGTCACGCCGTCCAAGGGTGACTCTTTTTTTTCTCCCGCGTTTTTAATTGTTGTATAAAAATTTATACTTGCCACATGTTACATAAAATACATCACCACATAATTTTTTTTTAGTTTTTGTGAACACTCTGTATAAATTTGATTGTGGAGTATTGAATTGCACGCCGCGTGTGCTTTGTTGTGTTTTTGTGTCGAGTCTATGAGTATGTGCTTCAGCAAAGTGCACCTATCGAAAACAAAGCGCGGCCGGCTTATAATACATAATCAATTAATCACGGGGATGCGTATTATGTCGTTGTGGGGTGTGTGTGTGTGTCGTATTGCAATTAATTTTATTGATGTGACGTGCAATAAGCGAAATCAACACGCCAAACATCTGAAAATTTTTTTAGAGATGAAAATTTTTAGTTTTTGACAGGTGACAGTCGTGGAGTGCATTGCAGCGGGTGTGAGACAATGCATGTTAATTTATGCAAAACATAGAAATGCAAAACTACCCCTTGCAACACCACAACAAGCTTTTCTTTGTGTTTATAGTCTGCGGATGTTGGAAACAAATAGAAATATACGTTTGTTGTTTGTTTCACAACTCTACATGAAGTAGAAACTGTGTTTTAGGTTAATATTTACATGGGTGACAAAACATTGTGGGTAGCACATCCAGAAAATGGCAAAAAAAATCTGTAAAATTGTTAAAAATGTGTTTTTATGAAAAATAACTTTTTTTATTAAATTTAATGATTTATATAAAATTTTTGAATTTGAGGTTATGTTTGTAACCTGAAATGAGGTTATGTATCACCATAACCTCAATTATTAGCTATTTTACCATTTATCCTTAAATTTCTTGTTAAATTTGTTCCAAAATTAATAAAATCCGACAATATTTTATAAATAAATAGATTTATACTGTGTGAATCTATAAAATTTAAATTTTTAAGGTTACAATGGATCATATACTCACAATCGACGCTGACTTTGATCCGCTTGCTGACTGATGGCGGCACGCCGTTGCTGGCGATGCAGAGGTAAGCGCCCATGTCCAGACGAGAGATCCGCGTCAGCTCCAGCGTGTCGCCCTCCCACTCGACGACTGCGCGTGCACATACATGAAACAAACACACAGCATCAGAGCATGTGACTAAAGGGGTGGGCGAGAGACAAAAGGCGCTTTATTTTATTGCGTTTACATCGACACCTTCAGGACGAGCGACGCGCCATGAATATCACTTTTATTATGGACGTGCCGAACGTTGTACACATACACAAATACACACATATAAATATACAGAAAAACCACCCCTATATTTACAACTACGTTTTGGGAGGAATGTTGAACATTGAACACCGTTTACATAACTATTCGTATCGAATTTGCGTTTCGTTGTTTTTTCATGGTTTATCTGAAAATGGAAACCACCCCTATTGGAAACAGGTTGTGTTAGTGGGGTAGTGGTGTCGGAGTGCGGTCGAGTGCGACTTATTGATACTCGGACGATGGTTTAAGTTTTTTACGAGGTCATAAATAACATAAATAACACCCTATAAGATTTCCACCCTTATTTTTTTTTTCATATAGATGAATTGTTATAAAAATTATTTTAAATTTTTTTTTTTTTAATTTTTCACGGTTTTTGGACACAAAAAGTATACTTTAGCCATGGTCGTGACTAAAATACTTTAGTCACGGGTTTTAGTCACGGGGTAAAACTTGTGGGTGAATGAAAGTAGAAAAAAGCATCATCGTAAACATCAGGTGGCTAAATTTTGTTTAACACTCAATTGCTTTATCAATCCCGTGAGTAAAGTCGCCATTTAGCCACTTGTGACTTAATATATTATTTTATATCCAAAAAAAATTGTTTTTCATTTTGTAAATATTGAAAATTCATACTTCAATCTTAAAATGTAAAATTTAAGGACGGTTGCATATGCATACACGTACGGGTGACGAAAATGCAAGTGACATCTGTTCGATTTGTTAGTTTTCTCGAAGCGAAGCCAACACGTGCCGGAAATGACAGTTTTTTAACGAAAACGTCGATAACTATACTTGCGTCCTGCGTCCTTTGTCGCGCATACGAAATATATTCCCCTGAATTTCATAATAACCATGTTCGGTGCTGAAAATTTTCGTCAACGAGCAGGTCGCCTTTTAATTTACGTTTTTTTTTTCTTTCTCCTCTCTTGTAGTGTACTCGTACACTTGTAGTCAAAATCACGTCCGTTGAGTGCCGCTCGTATTTTTCGTTCATTTTTCCGCCCTCGACGACGACGAGGATTACTTAATTGTTAATTAGCAGGGACAAGTGAGTGGTTGATTGCCGCGCGGCGCACGACGAGGGTCGGCGTATCGCAGGGGTGTAATTACCGTTTATACAGCGACCTTTTTGTAAAACGAGATAAATTTTAATCTCTGATAAGGCACGATGCGTACACATAATGTTAAAATGATTAAAAACTACCTGTTTTGACTTAAGTCAACAGTAAAGTAAAATAAAAGGTGTTTGGTTGAATTTATCTTCTTCTAGAGGAGGTGCTGAGAAAGCATCCGGGCGATATATCGTAATTGTGGGCTTAAGTAAAAAGTTTTCCGGTTTCCGCCACCAACACATGTTTGGTGCGAGTTGGGAAGTAAAGGAAACTCCAAACTCACCAGTAAGTGTCTTGTTTATGGTGATCTTGGAGTTATCGTCGCGTTTCCACTTCACGCTGGGTTGTGGCGAGCCGGTGGCGCGACAGGTCAGCGTCTCGTTGGCGCCCTCACGAACAATGACGTCACTGCTGCTTAGCGAATCGTCAATGTTTGGAGGAACTGCAAAAATAGAAATAAAGTTAGGTTAGGTTTAGTTATGTTAGGTTATGTTTTTGTGTATGTGTTGGATTTCTAGTTTTCTAGTTTTCCGGTTAGTACCCACTTCCGGAATATTTTCTGAAATTGACTTTTCTCCGTGTGCGCAGAAAAATAACTTGATAAAATATTAAATAAGAGAAGCGGCGCCGAAATTCGTTGTTCGTCTGACGTGCAATATCCAAGCGACGCGCGCGCGCCCGGAAAAAGGAATAGAAAGCGGAAAACGCAGGAAACGCCGACGATTCCGAACAGCTTTCGAGCTTTGCGCGAGTATGTGGAGCATGCACAACATGCAGATCTAATCCGCAGCGTATTCCCCTAATGTAATAATGCTTTAATCTGCGTGAGGGGGTGAATGTCTAGAGATAGGGGATGATAACAAATAGTGTGCCAATAAAAGTTTCAAAAAACATCAACAAATAAAATATTTAATTTGAAACGTGATGTTTTGATGTAATTTAAAGAAAAATTCAAAAATTTCAACCCTTAATGATTAAAATTCGTTTTTATAACATAAAAACTTATCAGAAAGTAAAAATTAATTGTTTTTAGGTTAATATTAACATGGTTGATGAAATATTGTATTCAAAACATGAAGAAATTGTTTTAGAAAGTGTAAAATGGCAAAAAAACATTTTTTTCTTTGTGAAAAATATTTTTTTCTTTAAATTTTAGGTTATGTAATGACCTAACCTCAATTATAACCTTCTTTAGTAGAAAAACTAGTCTAAATTAAGAGTAATTATTGAATATCTTGTCAAAACAACAAAAAAATAAACAATTTAATTTAAAACTAAATATTTTAATACAATTTAAGGGTGTATTTTAAATTTTCAACCCTTAACCATGAAAACTCTCTTTTTCTTTTTTTTCTTACCCAAACAAACTCAAATAAAAGTCGTTTCCAAGTCGAAAGTCGAAACCGAACCAAAGTTATTGTTTAATTATTTAGAAAATCAACAGTCTCCCAGTTACCTTAAACAAACCGAACGATCTCCAAAGAATTGAAAGACCCACCGAGTTTACACCAGGTACACAATGTGGCTGAAACTTTTTGAAAGAATCAAATTTTTACGCGAATTCAAAGTCAAACAACACTCCGCCGTTAAAGTTAAGGGTTGTTTCCGGAACGCGATTGCGGTGATAGGGCATGTAGTGTATTGAAATTTGAAAATCGCCGAAAATTATGTTTGCGCAAACAGGTGCCAAGGTGATAATCACTCAGAATTCAATTAAGTCAAAGCACGTAGGGGTTGCACACAACAGGCCATCTTGGTGAAATTACCATAAACTACCCCTAAATACAACCCTCATCAAAATATGATAAATTTATATTTTTACAAAGAAATAATTAGTATAAATTAATATTTTCAAGAAATTGAGATGAAATTTAATGAAATCACCCTTAGATGGAAGTTTAGGGGGTTGGGGGATGAAATTCACGGTCGGGTCTACGTCGAAGAAGAAATACGGCCGCAATCAAGTGGACCTTTAATGTGCGTCCTGCGAAATTGCGAGGGACATTCGCCCTGTTTCGATTCCCTTCCGGTCGGCCAATCAGTTCCACCCCTTCAGCTCTTCAGCTCTTCCAACTCAAGGAAGCAAGTTAACTAAAACTACCGCTCATTTTTATCTCTCACATAACTTTATTTTCAACCTCTGCTTGGAGATCTACCTGCGTCTTGGTTGTTTCACATTTTTTGTATTTAGGGGTGGTTTTTATAATATCCGCTTGTCCAACCAGACATCCGGTGTTTGGTATTTGTATTTATATACAGTATAAACACTCCTAAACTCTGCGTTTGGTTTTTGTCTTCTTGAACGTTGAAAATGCTTCATAAACATCTGTTTATTTTAAGGTTAGAATAGGTTATGTTGCACATAGTGTTTTGAGGTTGTGTACAAGTCAATAAAACCATCAGTTGAAGAGATAATAGAAAAAAGGAAACTTATGTGAAGTTTGTGAGTCCATCTGTGTTCGGAGAGCTTTACTCTGGAATTGTAGACACTGCATTACTATTCGCCGCGGCGTGCGTCCGACGCAAACTTTTTTAACTACCCGAATTCATTAAGAATTTCCTCGGCTGTTGATAAAAGTAAGATGTTTCTACGTTTCATTTCACTTGAGGTATCAACGCCACGTCCATACTAAACACTCCAAACTCCAATATACGTGCAAGAGTGAAGATGTTTTTCGTTCGCTTGGTTTTTTTTTTCTGCTGACGCAGACGATGCAAGAGGGTGTAAAATAAATTCCTTTCATTGAATGCCCACAGCAGCGAAAGCTGGATATTATTACTGATTACGATTTAATTCATCCCGGGGTTCAAAAACTATGGTCACGTTGAGATCATGAGCGTGACGTGATTCGGATTCGAAGCGGATTTCCCCCACTCCACTCTAACTCTCTCAGAGGATTTCCAGTATTATGGTCACAGATGGATGAGTTCCAATCGAGGCGGTTAGTGATGCAATACGCTGGAAGTCTGAGTTTCTAAATATCACCAGCGGGACGCAAAACAGTCTTTGATCGTGATCAGAGACACCTTCGTAAAGGATTTCACACAGTGATTGAACCGAAAACTTTGATTTTTTGCTTTCTTGAAGAATTTCGAGGTCGATCAATGTCGGTGTGTTGGGAAGAGGGTGGTTGAGGTTGCGGTGTGCGGTGCGGTATGACAGCGGTTTTGGGCGAGGTGATTTCAGTGGCCATCGCGGCTAATCTGAAACGTGCCTTGCATAAAGAGTCGGTCGGTGAGCAGAGGAGCATTTGGGGTTGAGGAGCAGGGGAGTGAGGTTGACGGTTTTGTCATGGTCGTACCGTGCGAAGGGGGAGATGCTTCCCCGTATAATTTAACAAGTTGGGACTGCGCGGACGAGACGCACATGTTGCGAACGAAAGGACGACCCTCGACGTCGTCGAACATCATGCATCAAAACTCGTCTAGTTATACAAACTGATTTAACCGGAAAACTTGTCAAGGGTGGAGAATATCACAATATTCACAATCTACATAAAATTTATTTGAGTTGTAATTTTTATTGATCAAAATAGGATTTTAAGAGTCAAGTGTGCGAAGTGGCACTTTAGTCACGTTTAACGTTAAGCATATTTTTTCAGTTTAATTTTACTTTTACTTTGAAGTTTTTGTATTTGAAATTTTAAAAAAATTTACCCCGTGACTAAAAAGTGTGGCTAAAGTATTTTAATCACGATCTTGGCGGTCCGTGACTAAAATACCAGTTAATGTGTCTCAAAACAATGGAAAAATTATTTTAAGGTTCTAAATACATGCGAGTAAGCTTATCTTATGGCAAAAGTTTTACCTCGTGACTAAAGCTCGTGACTAAAGTAGTTTAATGCGATTTAAAAGTAAAAATAAGAAAAAGTTTTTTCTTTATTTAGTTTTACTTGTAGGAAATGTCCCTTGGTCACGTCTGGTCTATCAGTAAATCTAAGGGGTTGCAATGCATCCCCTAACGCCTCTAGCGCATCACACGTCGCAGTTGTCGCAGTTTATCTGTTTAGCGTCGTCACGCGCGTTAACAATGCTCATTCACTCTCGTTCAGACGGAAACTGTTTGTTTTGTGATGTCTAACAACTACCCTTTCAGAATCCTTAGAAATTTCTCTTCCTATCTAATATAAAAACAGCTAAATCTCTTTCTTTCCTTAAAAATTAAATTAAGTTATTCATATGTTTTCAAGTGCTTTTATCGAAATTACAGTGAAACTTTTACTTTTACTCTTCGTGGTTCTATTTTCTGTGAAAGTTGTAGGTGGTTGGAGAGTGCGGAGGGTTTTGTGTGTTTGTGGATTTGCGTCGGGAGACGTCGACAATGGAGAGGAAGGCATTATCGAAGCTCGCACATTCTGCGGGGGCGGGCACAAAAGCTGACAATTACTAGATTTAAGGGCATTCCGGCGCGTCCCGCAGATTTCAATTATAAACGCCGGCCAGAGTTCGAAAACCGCCGCTTCGATTCGATGTAATTGACCAGGTAATGGCTTTCACGAACATCCCAAGGATTCACCTTCCCAAATTTAATATCATTTCCTAATTGAATTTCACAAATTTACATCCGGACTTAGAAAAATTAAAAATTTTCAAAAAACTTAAAATTCAACCCTTAAAAAAATTTATGGGTAGGTTTCAAAAGCAAAATATAAAATACAGGGATATATTATACTATTGCCAAAAAAATGATATTTGTAACGTTATTTGTTTAAAAGTTATGAGAGATTTTAACTTTTAACTTTCAAAAATTAAAAAATAAATTTTGTTTAAACACGTATAAAACCAAATTCTTTTAATATAATTTTATGAAATTTACATATAATTATCTCGTGTAAATTGTTTTTAATATGACCTTTTGTTCGCTAAAATCGGACATTTAAATTTCGAGATATTTAGCTTTAAAATTATGTTTTAAGTTTATTCAAAAGTTGCATACACCAGAATATTTTTATTTAAACTCGCATAAAACTAAATCTGCTTAATAAAATTTTATAAAATTAACACAAAATAATCTAAATTAAATTTTCTTTAAAATGACATTTTACCCATTATCCTACCCCTCTTAAATTTTGAGATATTTAGCTTTAAAATTATGTTTTGAATTTATTCAAAACTTGCATACACCCGAATATTTTTATTCACACGTTTATAAAACAAAATCTACTTAATGCAATTTTATAAAATTAACATAAAATAATCCCAATTAAATTCTCTTTAAAATGACATTTTACCCATTATCCTACTCCTCTTAAATTTTGAGTTATTCAACTTTAAACTATCTGTCAAAATGTGTTTATAACCTAAAATCACCCACATCATAAAAGCCTCGCATAACCTGCCACCGCGATAAGATTTTGACTGCAGGACCAGGTCGCTTTGTCCCAACTTGTCGCACATCCCCTAATTCCGCATGCAGCGCGGCAGGGATGTCTCAATAAATGACTGACATCACTAGCAGCTATCGATAATGAATCCTCATCGCCGCGCGGCGCGCGCGCGACATGCTCTAAGATAATATTTGTGCACCGTGCGTGTGTACCTAACCTATAACTTGGCGCATATCCGGTGCGAAGCGGTTTAAAACAAAGCTGGCGGCGCTCGGCCTCCGGGGTGGAGCTTAAATTCACCACACCACGCTGTCATATTGTGAACCATCCCTCTGGTTAGACAAATGATCAATTTTCGATGACGACGATGTGGATTAAATTCCTGATTGGATAATATTTTATATTTAAGGGTAGTTTTTAGAAAACCTCTGTTTTTATTAAAAATGATGAATAAGATTTGCGATTTGAGAGCGCGCAACCATATTTAATGAGTTTTATTGCGTCTGCAGTGAAGTAGGTGAGTCGCTCATTGCCCGATCATCGCAGGGGTTGTTTTCCCTCCGCGGGGGCGGCTCGTAAAAGCGCTATTTGTTTAGGATTTCGCGCGTGCCGACCGAGCGGCGGTCGTAAAAGGTTCCACAATGTTTACATCCCGCGTTACATACGCCGACCGCAGCAACTAGCTCCACACTCAACCCTCGCCCGCCCCCATGCACACTCAAACCATCAACCCTTTCAGCAGCGTTGCGGCGATGAAAGCGCTGCAAACGTGCGCGGTTAAAAATTCAACAAGCCGATTTCCTTTAGTATCCTACACTGACATCAACGTTTATATCCGCATTCATCACTTTTCGGGGGATGGAAAAACTACCCTTAATATAAATATCACTATTTTGACCATATTTGAAACAAAATATAGATTCTAAAATATACATCTGATAAATAAATTAATTTTACATAAAAATTTGTTTTAAAAATGGATTTTTCTAACCGAAAACAAAATGGTGGCCATTTTTAACCTAAAAATCTTATAAAACATAAACAAAATGTTTTATTGAGTGTTACGGGGGTAGATAAAGTAGATTTATCGAAACTTGATCTGTTATTGCACCCCTGAGCAATGTATAATCCGGTATTTGGGAAATTACCCCGATAGTTGGCGGTTTACTGCCCCATTGTCGATAATTCGATGCGGGCAACACTCGGTGGAAAGCGGCGGCGGTTAAGTATTAGCAGATGAGATCCCCTAATGCCGAAAATCTGTTTTGAGCCGCGCAAAATGCGAAACCGATACTTTGAACTCCGCTTCGGACGCGATTTGAAAGTCAAATTTTTACTTTAATAAATAAACATGCGGCCGCAGACGTTTCGTAATCTGTAATAAGATTAATAATTTATATGCTAATTTGTCATCCATCAAAACCCACCCCTAATTACTTCCTGGGTTAAATTCAGGTAATTTTAATAAAATTTTATTCTTAAAAATAATTTTGTTTTGTTGTAAATAAAATAAAATAAAATAAAACCATCCCTGTGTATTTTTACGTTAAGGGTAGTTTTTTTCTTTCCTCAAATAAAAAAAAATCACCCTGAAATTCAGATGCGATTTATGTCCTCTGATGTGGTGCCAATTTCGCTATTAGGTTAACTATCGTAATTACATCGTGTGCGTGTTTTTTTCGTTTCATCCCCTAATCCATTTAGCTTTAATATTTTTTTCATTGCGTATGATTTATACGGCGTAAATATTTTCCGAAGGCAAGAAAATAAAAATCAATGCGATTGTGGCGCAGCGACACAAAAAGCGCTTGTTTTCTTGAATGTTGCCGAGAATTATTGCGGCGAATAAAGTCGAGCGCTCGCAAGAAGATAGATTTTTATCAGATAAGGACGAATTGCTGTGGGGCAATTATAATTTTGCCTCGGCGGCGCGCAACAACCAAAACAACTGGAAGCAAACATCTTTAAGAGTCTTCAAGGGTGGGTGGAGGGTGGAGAATTAGTACCAAGCTTGCACTCGCATAATGACACTTGAGATAAAGTTGTGAAATACTGTTATAACAAAGTTGTATTATAAAAAAATTGAAATAAAAGCTTAAATTAGCAAAAAATAATTTTTTTTGCAAAAAAAGTTTTGAAAAATAAGAAAAAATCATTTTTTTGTGAAATTTAATGCTTCGGAAAATTATATTATTAAAATATTATTATTAATCATTAACTTTTAAGAAAATTTTGAGAAATGTTTAAAAAAAAAAAAAATTTTTGCAATTTTTTTTTAAAATTCAATTTTTTTTCAATTTTTTTGCCAAAAAACTAGAAATTATGGGTCAAAATTTTAAAACACCCTGTATATAAATAAACATGAATATTCTGCCTGTGTTTCAAGATTGTTTCACAGGTATCAGTATTTTTTCCAAAAAACTTTTCCCAAGCATCCCAAGCAGTTGAAGAAGTTACCAAGCTGGCAGGGGTGTGGAGGCGGCTTGAAGAAAACTTCCGATTGTATAATTTCGTTGCGGGTAGAAAAGTATCGCAATTAATTACGAGCGTCGCTCGCCGCCGGCTTTTTTGCGTGCCGCAAAGACGTTCGACTTTTCGCGTGTGCGCAACAGTCATTCCCGGCGCCTCCACCAAAAACTCCTTCACCCAGCGCAGTTTGCGTTTGTGCCATTGCGTTGTGTCTTATTCTTCTCTCCCAGCGCCGGCAGCCGCAGCGGCAGCAGATGAACAATAACTTATGAGGTCGCAGTTGTTAATTAAGAAATTACTGTTTCAAACTTCACTTATAATTCCGTTTGAAGATTGTTTCTGGTTTTAATGGCGGCGCAGCAACGCGAGCAACTTCCCTAAGCGCCGTAAATCTTGTTTCGTATCATCGCGCGAACGCAAGTATTATTGAAATATTAATTTTCACCCTCTCACGCAAGGGATGTATTAAAGTTTAAGTATACTTTGGATTAAAATTTGAGATTTATCTGCTCAGGACGGATAAAAATTTGTAGTGGAAAGAATTTCAGCGGATAAGCGGTTGAAAGTGCTTGGAACAGTTTCATTTAGATCTTTAGGGGTGATATTCAGACGAGGAACAGCAGTTTCTTAATTGGTATGATGTCTAAAGTCATAAAGGGGTTGTTTTTTTAGTGAAAATTTAAAAAGAAAATTTGTAAATGTTTTTGGAGAAAATTAGGTATAAAAAGTATATTTAAGGGTTGAAAATTTAAATTTAAAGGTTGGAATTGTGAAATTTTGGGGGTGAAAATTTTGAAAATTAAAAATTTGAATTTTGAAATTTTGAAATTTGAATTTTGAAATTTTGAAATATAAAATTTAAAATTTTGAAATATAAAATTTGAAATTTTGAAATATAAAATTTGAAATGTTGAAATATAAAATTTTAAGTTTTGAAACATAAAATTTTAAATTTTGAAACATAAAATTTTAAATTTTTAAATTTATGGGAAGAAAAATTAAAATTTAAAATTTGAAAATTTTGAAATTTAAATTTTGAAATTTTTGATTTTTGTTTCTTCTTATATCCTTGAGAAAATTAGTAGGTTTAAATGCATGCCTTGGAGGGTGTTCGCGAGTGTTTCGCACATGTGCGTTATTGCATGCATTTGCATCTCGTTCTTGATCCTTCGCCTCGCGAGAGGGTTGTTCGGCTGCCACACATGTTACAAGCAAACGACAAGTGACATATTACGTCGGGAGCATTAAATGAAATTCAGCAGCGGAAAACGTTTCCACGTTTCGCAACAATTCCACCGACTCGAAAGTGTTTTTATTCACGTCGCACGAGAGAGAATGGAAAAAACACAATATGTTGGCAGGATAACGTGGAAAACAAGATGGAAGGCGTGCGTCGATAAAACAGAGCTTCGACTTACCGACAACGTGCAGGAAGCCGAACTGCGTCTTGGCGACGACCGTATTTATCTGACACATGTACCGCCCCTTGTCCTCCTCCTGCACGTTACTGATATGCAGGAACCACGTGCGGTGCTTATCGTGCGTGACGCTGATGCGAGGATTCCGCGTTATCACGTGATTGTGTACGGTGAGGATCGCGGATTGCTCGAAGTGCATCCAAGCCACCTGAAAACAACAAACAACACACAAAAGTCAGAGGATAAATTTCAGGACATATCAGGACTATTAAGATTACAAATCCTTAAACATACGAATACACAAATCTTAGAAGTAAAGAAATGTGTGGATGGTTTAATGTTTTATTTTATCGTTTTACAACTTAATCTTTTTTTTTTCTTGTGGAGATTGCGTAAAGTTTCCGTATTAATCCTCGATAATATTAATCCCCTTGTGATTTATCACCTTGTTAAGTCCTACGGCTGCGATTTGGGAATTTATGTCGTTCGGGTTAAAAGCAGTGGAAAAATGAATCGCCAGGTTGATCTAATCAAAGCCGGGGCCGTTATTAATGAGTTAGTTAGGAGACACATATTTCAGGCGTCGTCACGCATCGCGGATGGCTAATTTGAATTTTTAGATGTTTTTCGCATAATCTTGTTAGGCGAGATAAATTAAATTTACGCCGTCTTTTGACACTTTGTGCCCATCGTGCCGTGTCGCTGCAGTCAGCCAGTCAATTATCTTTTATTTTTTCTTTGCCACTGGGTTTTTTCTCTGTAAAATTCGCAAAAATTGCAAAAATGAAAAAAAAATCAGATTTTTGCAAAATTTGAGTTTTTATGAATTTTAAAAATTGAAAAAATATTTATTGATATAAAATTTATAGGTCTAAAGAGGAAAAATATTATTTTACAATTTTTTTCCAAAAAATTAATTTTTTGTATTTTTTTTCAATTTTTTGAAATTTTTTTCTAAAAATTTTATTTTTTGCAAAATTTTCAGTTAAAACAAGCAAAAAATTATACAAAATGTAATAAAAGCGTATAAATGTATAAATTAACAATGCAGAAACTGTTCGAAAACAGTTTTTAGGTCAGGTATAAGTTTCGCGCGTCCGGAATGCAAAGAAGGCAAACTCGGTCGACGAGACTTCGACTTTGGCTTCGCCTCCAGCTCGGACTATTATTACGAAACGTGAAACTCGCATCAAGTCGACGAAAACATCTAAAAATTCAACCAAATTCAACTATAAAACACACATATCCGCTTTATATGCGCCGCAGCCGAATAAAAATCGTCATTAAAATCGCTATGCACAAAAGAACGACTCACATCGATGTTTTACACTCGCAGTGAATATCGATAACTGTGCCAAACTATCGCAAAACAATGCTATGCATATGTTACATAACATTTTTGGTTATGCATGCATATATTGACATGCTACACTAACGCCATCTATGATTAAAAAATCTAAAAATGTTTGAGAATTTACAAGTTGAAAATAAAAACATGTTTAATACACGCGTTCGAGGACGAAATTAATTGTTAATAGCGTAAACCTGTTGAATGCCATATATATATAAATATGTATGGGTCATTTCGTGCGTTCGACGGCACGCGGCGTCGAGCGAACATAAATATAAATGCAAATGCGGCAAATTGACCGAAAAAAACCAAACCGGAAAAAAGCGGCCTGCAAAAAAATAACGAACGTTTTTCTGACAGATTTTAAACAAGTTTTTTTTTTCCTGCAGTGATCTACTTCAAAAATATCAAATGTTGTTTACGATTCCGGGAAAGATAAAAACTGCTGACTTTCGAGGACAAACAGGGGACACGAAGGACGAAAGTAAGGAGTGAAAGTTTTCTGATAGTTGCGTAAACATTAATTTAATTTTCTCCTGTCGCCGGCAATTACCAATATTTGTTTCTGTTTGTTTTTCCGGTTTTCCGGTTTTTCGGAAACTCGCTACGCAGTTAATTTCCATATCTTGGCTGTGTTCTGATGAATTATATAAATTTGTTTGTTTGTTTTGCAAAGAAAAAGACACCACGTGACTTTGTGCGTCGGTTTATGATTGTGTGCAGTTTGACGAAATGGCTGATAAAAAATATACGGTCCATTTGGGATGAGCCATTTCATTAAATTATCGACGTGCGTTTTCCGCCACACACACTGACACAACGATACAGTTAACTAATACATGTTTGTGCATATTGTGGAGGCGCCGGGCAGCAATGTCCTCAAACATGTTTCCGTTCGATTTATTCGCCGCTCGTGTATTGGTGCGCGCTCGATTTCACATATTGCAAATTGTGATCCAGGATCACGACGAACACAAGAAAAACATCCAATCAGCGAGCAGCGACAATAAAATAAAAAGTGCATTAACTAAAACGAAAACTTTTCAGCGGATCATAAACATTTTAGTTATTATCCTAGAACAAGATCAGGATCAGGATCATGATATAAAATTTAAATATTAGTTTTTTTTTGTTTATTTTGATTATTTAAGATGTTTAACACAAAAAGTTTTTGTTTTACGTGCAAGGAAGAAAAGAAAACTAAGTAAAAGTCCTGCCAAAGGATGCGTGTACAAACACGAGTCCTGATTTGATTAGCTGATGGCCTGCCGGCGTCGTAATCAGTCGAGTCATGTTCCCAAACACAAACCAACTCCTAGTGATCCTAGTCTCACCGCATTCAACCCCCTTGGTTGTACATAACCCTATTTCACCCTCGTCCTTTTCTGCTCCTGCTGCGAAAAGAATGCGGACGATAATAACACGAGCATAGCCGCACGAAAAACACGAATGCAAGTATTAAAAGTGTGCTTTCATCTTTCGATCCTTTAGCTCTCTATAAATAAGAGTAAGAGAGAGAGAGAGAGATATTCACATTCCGCATTCCAAGGAGGCGGCAAAACCTACTGGGTGGACTTGTGAGTTTGGTAAAGCTTAGAGGACTTTCGGCAGCTTTGAGCTTCGCAGTCGCAAACGTTGTGCTTTCATTCGATTCGGGTCGCGAGATGTAAGAGGGAGGCGGCAGCCGCCGCCGCCGCTCGTCGTGTGTAAACGCGGATAAGTGGTAAACAAGGTAGTAAATTTCCATCCGCGGCGGCGCGACGTATTCGGCGGCGGCAGAGAGAGTCGGGGGCGGCAGACGGTCCCGGTGCCAGCGGATATCGCACGCGGCTTTGTCTTGGCACGCGCCGATTCAATCCACCCGAATCGGAATCGATGTGGTGTCGCCAAATATTTTACACACCTCAAAACATACATAACCTTAAAAATTTTGCAATCCCTACTAATATTATAAAGTCCGGATGTTTGTTACACTTTCATGCAAAAACTACTTAACCGATCATCATGAAAATTTGTACACATATTCTTATTGGTCCCGGAATAGTTATAGGCTACTTTTTATTTAATAAAAAAAATTATTTTTGAAATAAAATAAAAAAATTGTTTAGCCAATAATCTGCATCGGCCTATATGACTACTTTAACGCCATCTAGCAAGTCGTGGGTTAAAGCTAGTTCTTAAAAATTGTTTATGAAATTAAATTACACGAAATAAAATAAAATAATTGAATTACGTTTCATTTCGTATCTTTCATTTGCATCGCTCGTTGAAAGCTGTCGGCTTGTCGACAAGACTTGTCTGGTTGTCTCATCGTCCTGTTCGTTATTGAATTATTAACTTCAATTAAAACGACGCGGCATTCCCCATCTACACAACCCTCAAAAACCACCCTTAGTGCAGTGTCGCGAGTCAGATGACAAGGCGGCGGCGAGTTTTTGTCAATGACGACACAATTACCACTTTTCGCGCTCGTGCACAAAGCGCGTTTGTTCCGAATTGAGTTGTTAATAGTTCCTGCTTGTCAAGGACCTAGTCAAGTCACATTGCAACAGATAAACGCAAAAATATTTCCTGCGTCTTACAAAAAAAAAAATCACTACGAATAGTCCTCAAGTCCTCAAGTTCTCAGAAAGATTCAAACTTTACGAACATTGTTCTTTATTCCGGAAAGTTTTTTTTTCGTCGTCTTGTGCTTTACAAGCGTCTTTACAAGCGACGTTTTTGTGGCAGGAGTGTTGCGAGATAACGCAAGAAGCTGGAAAAGCTTCGAAAGCTCAAACACTCCAACATTTTTTTCTCGGTGTCTCAATTTCGTTTCGTTGATTTTTTTATCGGATTTATCGATTGGCGAGCAATTTGGGCGATCACGTTAAACAGTTGGTATTAATTACATCACGGCAACTAATTAGTGTTGCTGGTAATTACATACTGTTATCCGGCAGTTTTGAATAGTGATGTGTTTATTTTACTATCACATTTCGGCTTTGTGTAAACAATTTTAGGCGAGTTGGGATTTGTGTTGAATTTGTGTAGTTTTAGACAAATTCGTTAATTTACGAGCACAGGGCTTTTGGCGGCCATTTTGCATGATTTACACTTTAATAATGACCAATCGATTGTAATTGTATAAGTTTTGAGCAATTATTTAATCAATCTAATCCTAAATGGATTTTTGTATGTTTGTTCTTTTATAACTTGAAAACCATTGAACCGATTGGCATAAAAATTGGTATGTGTATGTATTGTAGTGTGGAAAAGGTTTTTAGGTTATTTTCGTTGCTGTTCTCCGCTAGGTGGCGCTGCAATATATCAAATTCTATAATTTTGCTGAAAATTGGTTTATTTGTGTATTTTTATGAGAAGAATTCGATTTTATTATCAATTTCGTTGTAACTGCTCACCAGGTGGCGCTACAGTCAATTAATCAATGCAGTAGAAATTGACATAAGCTAGTAATATAATAAAACTGATAAAAGAAGCTAAAAACCAGATTTAATATGAAAATTTTCAAATCAAATTCCAACAATAATATTTTCATGATATTGTAACTTATTTCGTCCTGTTGTCATGCTTGTACAATTTTAGTTTCAGTTACATCTGTGTATGGCTGTAGTCCTGGCTGGAAGTTGAATGTAGTGGTCGTTACTCCCATCGACTTCCTGATTAAGTATTTGATCTTGAAGATATACAGACCCGGGGGGAATTGGGATTTTTATTATATCGCCTCGAACGCAAGTATTGGATGCGCATATGTTTCATGTGTGCGTGTTACGCACACACATCTACACAAACGCACTGTATGTATTTGTATGTATATGTATGTATATAAATATAGATGTAAGTTATGTGTCTGTGTG